TTAAAGAAGTTGATGCTTAGATTTGTGGGCCCGTATGAGATCTTGGAGTAAATTGGACCTATTGCATTGCCTTTGCAGATTGCAAGGTATCTATAATGTGTTCTACGTATCACAATTGAAGAAGTACAAACCAGATCCCTCCCATGTTATTGAACTTGAAAAAGTGGAATTGAGGAAGAATTTGACCTTTAGATCCGAACTGGATCGAATTGAGGAGTTTAAGGTAAAGCAATTGCACAATAAGACTATCCGACTCGTGAAGGTGATTTGGAAGGGTATAGCCTTAGGTAATGCCACCTGGGAGATCGAGGAGAATATGAGGCGAGATTATCCACATTTATTTGCTTAGGTATGTAGTTTCTAAGCTTACTAGCCTTAAAATTATGAGGACAAAATTTTAAAAGGAGGAAAGAATTGTAACATCCTGATTTTTAGATAATAAAGAAATTGTGAAATTAGGTTTTATTGAGGATAAAAAAAATGATAATAATAGGAATTTATATTATTTGAGGTTATTTGGAAATAATATTATGGTTAGGCATTTAATTATGAATTAAAAATTTAAATTTAAAACCACATAAGAAATATTTACTTAAAATATAATTTTAAAATTTAGGATATATAAATAATTTTTTTATGTGTGTGTTAGTTAAAAAAAATAGAAGGTGGAAGGAACAAAAAAAAGGTGAAAGGTTATTTTTTAAGTCCCACATTGGTTAGATGTGAGAAGAGAAGAGGTGCCTCTATGTATAAAAAAATAAGAGAGGAAGTGTGGTGGGCCCATAACCCATAGGTCCCTGGATCGAAACTAGGCTTTAATATGTATGCAATTTTCTTTCCCCTCCTTTTATACATGGAGACACCTCTTCTCTTCTCACATCTAACCAATGTGAGACTTAAAAAACAACCTTTCACCTTTTTTTTTGTTCCTTCCACCTTCTCTTTTTTTTTTACTAGCACACACATAAAAAAATTATTTATATATTCTAAATCTTAAATTATATCTTAACTAAATATTTCTTATGTGGTTTTAAATTTAAATTTTTTTAATTCATAATTAAATGCTTAACCATAATATCATTTCCGAATAACCTCAAATAATATAAATTCCTATTATTATCATTTTTTATCCTCAATAAAACCTAATTCCATAATTTCTTTATTATCTAAAAATTAGGATGTTACACTTTCAGTTTCTCTTTTTCCCTCTCTCTGATTTTTCAAACAAGGCACAACTAGTTTAAGCAAAATTTTGCTGTGTGCTACAACGCTCGCAGCCCATGCCACAACGCATGGCACAAAGAGACCCACCCTTCATTGGTTTCCTTCGTGATTTGCAACAAATGTTCCTCAAGCCACAGCATATGGCATAAAGGTCCCTTATTTAATTATTTCTCACCTTTTGATGACCAAATAGCCTGACTTCACTTCAGACCCATATTTAGGGTTGAAATCATAATCATTTACACAATTTAGATCTCTTTGACCACACACCATATCATTAAACTAATTACCCTCATTAAGCTTAGTTGATTAGATTTAAACCACTAAGATGTTACGTGTGGTACCCACATATTTTTACTTCTAACTTTTCTCTCCAAATATGGAGAGATTTTAGAAAGAAAATTTCATTTTTAAATTTACCCATCAATTTTTTTCATTGCCGCCTTTTACTTTCCTTTATTTTTATCATAATATTTTTAGTGTAGTTACATTTTGAATTATAAACTTTTGCTAAACAAGCAATATATTTAATTTTTAGATTAATTAGACAAATGCTAATTCTAAATTTTCAAATTAATTTTCAATTAAATACCTTATATTTGGTTGTAGTTTCAAATTTTAAAATTATTATATATTTAATAATTTATTAAATAAAATTTTAAATTGTATAAAATATTTTTTAAGTATTGGATAAAATAATTTTTTATTTTTTTATTTAGTTAATAATATATGATAAAAATTATTATATATAAGATGTTAAAATATTAAATTTTATTATATAAATATTTTTATAAATAATAAGGTTATTATTATGCATATAAAATTAACAACTTTCTCTCCCTTAGCCAAGAACAATGAGAAAAAAATTATATTTCTCTGCTTTTTTGACTTTTTTATTTTCTCTCCTTCCATGTTCTCTCCTTCCTATTTTTCTTTACGAGCCAAGCACAACATTATCCAAAGAGCAACAAATCATCAGCAACAAAAAAAAAAAAAGGATGAGAAAGGCTTCCCATCTTTCTTATCAATGTTATTAAGAATGCAATAACTTAAACCAAAAAAATAATAATAAGGTGAGCGAGGATCCCTTGTCAAATGCCACGTGTGAGAGTGAAGTATCAGCATTTTAGGGCCTGTTTAGCAACATATTTTGAGAATAATTTTTTGTTCTTTAAAAAAAAATCTATTTGATAACGTATTTTCAGAAAATATTTTGAAGAATAAAAAAAATACTGTTCTGGAGAATAGAAAAATAAAAACATCTTTTAAATATTTTGGGATTTTTGTTTTGGAAAATAAAGAAAAATCAAAAATATGTTTTTTATTTTTTATTTTTAAAACATGTTTTATAAAATATCAATTTTAAAATAATAAAATAAAAATACTTTCAAACAGGCTGTTGCTATCTACCAATTTTAATACTATGCACTACGGACGTTTCAAACATAGTGCGACTGTTTTTATTTTTCGGCCGAGAATCATGGTGTGGATTTTTAAGGATAATTAATGATTTCTTTTTTTTTTCTTATCCCTTTTATTAATATGACTTATTTTCCATGCATTTATCCTCTGATTGAAATTATAAAAATATGAATCAGAAAAAACTAGCACATAAAATGAGAATATGGCTTTTTCTTCAACTTTTTTCAACAATATTTCTTTTTTAAAAAAATTGTTAGTTATCACTAAAAAAAGAAAAATTGGAAAAAATAAAATTTTGAATATTTATATATTTTGAATATATTAGATAAAATGTCTATTTTTTAAAAAAATAGCTAATACAAGTTAACTTGCAAAATTTGTTACGCCGTGTTGATGAGGGGAAAAAAAATTGTTACACTATTCCTCCATACTCCATAGAGATCAAACCTTCCTCTTTTCGTTTTTTCGTTCGTACGCGCCCCCCCATTGGTTATTATTTTAATAGTATTTTATATACTTTCTACAATAGCTTTAATTTTTAGATTTTAGATTACTTGTGATACTTATATTTACATTTGAAAAGATGAATTGTGTTATATAAGTTGACTCAAATAACTAGTTATAATGGTCAGGTTGAAAAAAATTAATTCAAATAAAAATAAGTTTTTTTTGACCCGAATCATATAATCAATGAACCATATAAATCAACCTTAATAAGTTAAGGTTGGTCCAATTAACCCATATTATTTTTTTTTTAAAAGGAACAATAGTAAGGGTGAGCAAAAGTAAACATAACTGATTAGACCAAACTAATTCAATCAAAACCAACAAAAAAAGATCATTAATAAAGTTTGGTTTGGTTTTATAACTTAAAAAAACTAAATGGTTTGATTCAAGTTTTATTTTTTTTATTTTAAAACCTTAATCAAACTTTAACCATACTTTTTTATATTTTTAAGTGCATTTTTTATAATTAATATGACTATTAATTAGTGTTTATTATATTAAAATTTTAACCTCAATCAAAGTCCAATCCAAACCTAAAATACTTTAATAGAATCCCTAATCTTACTTTTTAATCTTGCTTTTAGATTAAAAGATAGTCCAAACTAAGGAGAGTATATTGCCATTGCTGTCTAAGAAAAGTCAAATACTTTACTACATATTATTGAAACATGTTTTCCTTTTATTGATTTAAAACAAATTCCTTTTTCATTATAGACATTAAGATAATTTATAATGAAATTTAACTGGCAGCAACGTTACTTATAATGCATATACTTTGATGTTTATTAATAACAAAATTTGAATACTTTTATTTGTAATATGATACTCATTTCCATTCATGAATAATAAAGTTGAGAATATCACTTGATTTTAGAATATGAAAGGAGAAAAAAAGAGTAAAAAAAATTGAAACTTAATTCATGTATAAACCAAACAACTTAAAAACCGAATTAAACCAACCTTAATAAAAAACTGATCAAGTGTCATTATTTGTGTAAATCAATTGGTTTGATTTGGTTCATGTTTTGATCAAAACCAAACCAAACCAAACCAAACTATACCTTTGATCACCCTTATTAGGCACGACTTACTTAACTACATCAATTTATATATTTTATACAAACATTATAAATTAATATTTTGGTATATTTAGAATGAGTTATGAAAGAATATTAAATTAAAACTCATTATTTAGATGTATTTTTTAAAAATTCATAAAAAAATAAATTAAACAAAATAAATAAATGGGTAAGATTGAGTTGGGTTAAAATTTTTTCAACCTATATAAAAAACCAAACCCACATTTCTCTCAAATCATATGAGTCGAGTTGGCTCATATTCCTATCTTTATTTAAATTGCATTTGCAAAGACACTCTTTTCTCTTACACTTTCATTTGATATTTCCATATTTATGTACTCTTCTTCCGCCATTTTAGATAGCATCTTTTTCCTCTTTCCTCTCACATACTATATTAAAAATTATAAAATTTAAATTTGTTAAAACCTTACTTCCCATCCATTCTCTTAGAGTCAAATAGGGGATTTTTAGAATGCATAAATACATTTTGCTAAAAAAAAAAGAATGCATAAATACATAATAGATCTTCTTAAATTTTAAGTAAATTACTTGACCCCAAAAAAAAAAATTTAAGTAAATTAAACATTGTGAGGTTAAGTGCACAAATTCATGCCCTTCACCATTTGCAAATTGTCCTTTTAAACAAGACTCTGTTAAAATCTGAAGGAATCAACTGTTAGATGTAGAATTTAATTGAATAAACATAACATAGTGTGACAGAAAATGGTGGAATAGCCGCGATCAAAAACTGATCTTCAGCCAACTATAAAAGTAAAAACACCGGCCTCCATTATTCCATTTAAGCCAAAAAGAGCAGGAGAAGAACATAAAAATCTTACAGTGCTTTACAGGCGGTAAAATATGAATAACAAAGCATATCTTCAGTAAGCCATTAAACTGGACAAAAAAAAAAAACCAAAAAGAAAAAAAGAAAAGAAAAGATGACAATTGAGATCCAATCAGCGTAAAAGACATGGGGAACAAAGCACGAGAACGAAAAGCATTGGATAAATATAACTAACATGTACCTGTAGGAAGAAATAATCAACATCAACATTGTGATAAGCTGGTGCGAAGTTGGGGTTTAGGCCTTTTCAACCAAATCCCTAGACTCTTCTGCTTTCTTGTGTCTACCCACTGTTTCGTGCCTTATCCAGAAATTGAGGAGTGGGGAGTTGGGACCGACAGCCGATGAAGGGTGAACGACGAAACCATTGGAGCATAAGAGCATCATGGAACAACAAGGAACGAGCGACGGCAAAAGCAGAACAATGATGAAGCATGCATCAACGATGGTGGCTTGAAGAAGAAGACGTACGGACGACGGTGACCACGATGAATCGGTGCGGCTGCGACTGAAGTTGAAGGAGAAGACTGAAGAGAGAGCACGAGGAAACTCAATAGGGTTGTTGGAAGTGACTTCATTTTTTAATATTCGTTTGATTTCTCAATTCGGTTCAGGAAGTCAGAGGTGTAAAATAATTTAGTTTTTAAACCGGTACTTATTTTAATCAAATTAAAAAATCATTTTAGACCGCTTGTTTTGACGACAGGTTTAAAAAATTCATTACTTAAATAATTTATTTACGAAAAATGTTATCGTTCTTATTTTCTAATCCGTTTCTAGGTTTAAAAAGGACATTTTAAATAATGTTATTTTTTCTATTAGTGTTAATTAAGGTTATAATTTTTAAAAAATAATATCTATTAGAAACTATACTTTTTAAAAGCGATGAATTCGATTATATATAAGCACTTTCGTATAAAGTTAGCAGCGATGTTCTCTACAATACATCATAAATTCCATATTTTGCTATAAAATTGTTATATATTTAGGACTAAATAAAAAGGTCTCGTATCAAATATGAAAGAATTTAGGGTTAAAGTGCAAAAATACTCACCAAATGATTAGCTAGGAGTATCTAATAGTTTAAAGTGAGAAAAATGATAAAAATATTTACTACATTACAAAAGTTGGTGTAAAAGTGATTAAATTATTAACTTTATCTTAACACCATTAGTTTCTGGAGTTAAATGCAGACTGTGCTTACCACATGACAGTTTTTGCTAATGTGGACTAAAAAGGAGCAAAAAATATCCACAAAATCATCAATTAGGAGTATCTAATAGTCTAAAGTGAGAAAAAGAGTAAACATGTCCATAACATTATTGAAGTTTGTGTAAAAATGATCAATCCATTAAATCTCTTAAATGTTAATTGTTTAACTGACATTTAAGCAGAAGTTGACTAATTTTTAGTTGATTTAGATAAAAAATATTTCTAAGTCAATCTTCTTTCTAAATTTATATTATTAGCTTGTTGTGTTAAACATATCTGAAGATTTTTTTTTAGATATAGATTGATTTTAGCTTCGAAATGGGAACTCCACTACCAAAAGAGCTTCTCAAGAAGATCAAGGACCTCAAGCGAGTCGTGCTCATCTCAAGCAAGAAATGTCCAAGCTCAAGCTATCAGGCATGAGCGATGCCCAAGCCGAGTAGAGCCATTATTGCTAGAGGTCGAACTTGATATCGTCATAGCATTTGAGATTGGGTGTGTCCAGGAGGAGAGCTGGAGGCAGTGGATTCATGGACCTGCTTCATGGAAGAAAGGTTCAACTTCATTTAAACATTCACCATCACTTCAGAGAGAGAGCTATAGTAGTGATCCTCAGAATGATGGAGAAGGTGGCGTTAGAAGGGGCCCTTTAGTTGTGAATTTTACTGATAGGCAGTATCTCAATATGTTATAGTCAATGGGGTACTCTTCACATATTAGATCTTAACATTGATCATTTGGATTAACAAAACAAAGCACGTGAACCTGTAACAATAAGAAATTCTAAAAAAAAATACCTGCAGGCTTTATTTCAAATTTCTAAATCAATGGAGGCTCCTTAATAGTCTTTTCAAACTTGGATTGGCTAAAATGTTCAAGTTTGGGGATATATGCCTAGCTTCTACAAGAACAAGAAAATAGTGGAGGAAGTAAATCTTGTAGAAAAAGAGAGGAAATCTTCATCAAAAATTGCCTCTCACATTGTTGGAAGTTGCTTCTCTGTCACTATAAATCACCCTCCATGGACATGAACGTACAATCTCACAACATAGTTGAAGAGCGTGTGAAGAGAGGAGTCGAAGTCCTTTGGGAAAAGAGTCATACAATGGTGGTCACATATAATCGCACGAAAAGAGATGAAGAGTCCAAGTCACAACTCACTTTTTATAATGGAAATCGTCTCATAGAGGAGGGACAATTGGTCATTTGGTTATATTGTTTTATGAATATTTTATTTAGAATGAACTTTTAAATGCAATTGATCTTTAGGCATAATTTCTACTTCAACTAGGTCTTTTTCACCAATTCTCCATATAAAATATCTTTTAGAAAATTTCTTTGGTCTTTGCTATAAGCTATTTAGTATGGTATTAATTGTATTTTTTAATATTATCTCTATTTAAACTCATTTAACATGAACAATCCAATAACTATATCATTATAAACAAATAGCCTAAAATAAACTAAGGAGTATTTACACATGAAAAGTCCTAAGCATAATATTAGGAAAATGATGACAAATTAAAGGAAGGCACGACTCAACCCAACTTCAACTAACTACGGGAGAATGACAAATAAGAATCTTGTAATAATATTAATGTCAAATTAAGATTTTTCAACACTGATGTTCTCAAATTTTAGTATTCTTTCTACCATGTTTCAATACTAAAGTTTCTAATTTGACATTAATATTGTTGCAAGGTCCTTACTTGTCATTCTCCCGCTAACTACTTTATTAAATTGTTACTTTGAGGCACATGAGACTTAAAAGCGAGGGTAGTTGATGTTGGATATTAGTTGGTTACCAAATCATATACAAAAAAATTTAAGCATCCAAATTAAATTAAATCAAGTTCGTGAATAAATGCTAAACAAATTGGTGAAGTAGATAATGCTCTTCAAATTGATGAAATATAAAGATCAAATTGATGTACACGTGGACGGCATGTGTATAATCCCCTTCAAAAAAGAAAAAAAGAAATCCAATCACCGAGTCCTCCATAATCCAACATCCACACAAACATCTCTAATGATCAAATATTAAAAAAAAGATTAATATATAATTTAGACATTGAATTATAGGTTCAGGAATAGTTTAAACCCTACTAAACCCTACACTTTAAAAAAGTACATTCTGAACCCTAAACAATTAAAGGCAGGACAATTTCACTTCTACCACTAACTTTCAACAGACATTTGTCAAATTTATTTAGAAAAAATTACACTTTAGGCCCCAATTTAATGAATGTTTATTGAAAGTTAATAGTAGGAGTAAAATTGTCTCAACTTTAATTGTTTATAATTTAGAATGCATTTTTTAAAAGTTTAATATTCAAATCACCCTTAAACCTATAGTTTAAGGTTCAAATTGCATATTAACCTGTGGTAATATTACAAATTTACAAGATATGAGAAGAAGGAATAAAAAAGGTAAATAATGATGATGATGATGATGATGATGATGTTGAAATAATATAAAAGAAGGCTATAAATTATAATAATGAGTAAAGCGATTTTTGGTGGAGATTATAGTGGGTATAAATGAGACAATATCGAGTTGACTATTTTTATTCTTATTAGGTAATGTTTTGATAGGCTATAAGTAGCAACTATAGGAGCATAATATACTTTTTTTGCTACAAACGCACTTTCTTTTTTTTTCTATTTGTTCTTTGGCATAATAAAATCTCATAATAATATCAATGAAAAAAATTATCATTCTTTGTTAGGAAAAAATCTAGAATAGATTCCTCTTCATATACTTTTTTCTTTATCTCTTTATTTAATCATAAAAGTATTTAGTTCTGTTTTATAAATTTTCACCTTCATCAATCAATTTAAACCAAAAAAACTTACACACTCCTTCAATTTTTTTTTAAATTGACATAATATTCACAATACACTTTTTTCCATTATTGTTAAATTATTATTGATTAGAGTTTATTTTTTAAAATTCAAAAGGGTTAATATACAATTTGGACCTTGAACTATAAGTTCAGGAGCGATTTGAACCTTAAATTTTTAAAAAGGTACATTTTGAACTTTAAACAATTAAATTTGGAGCAATTTCACTTTTACTGTTAACTTTCAACGAACTTCTATTAGATTGGGGTCTAAAATGCAATTTTCTCCAAATAAATTTGACGGACATTTATTTGAAAGTTAATGGTAGGAGCGAAATTGTCTCAACTTTAATTATTTAGGGTTTATAATGCACTTTTTTAAAATTTAGGGTTTAAATCACCCCCGAACTTATAGTTCAAGATTCAAATTGTATATTAACCCTTAAAAAATAACAAATAGAGAAATAGAGTACATAATACTTAAATGAGCTCCAAAATGGGAATACGAACATAAAGCAGCAGAAAGATGAGACTGAGGTGGGGAAAACACACCAAGTATTTTCTAAAATCATTAGCTAAGGGTTGTTGCAACAAATCTATATCTATATTCATGATTATTCAAAAATTATAATATAAAAGGAAGTAATTCTCTAATTTAGATTAGAGCCAGCAATTTAGGTCAAGTCCGACAAGCTAGCTCAAACTTGCTTGAAAAAAATTCAAGGACGAGTTTGACCATATAAACTTTTTTAAAAAGATAAGATACTTTAAGCTTTACTTGAATTGAGCCAAGCCCAAATAAGACCAGTCGCCAAAATTGCCGACTCTATATGTATGTAGAGGGGGTAAATTCAGGCCAAGCCTAACAGGCCAGAACAAACCTGTTCAAAAAAAGTTAAGATCGAACTTAACTATACAACCTTTTTTTTAAAAGGTATTATACTTTAAGTTTAGTCCGCCTGAATTACTAACTCTAGTCTATATAAGAAAATCTCAAGGCACATAGATTACAAACCTTGCATCAGACCTATAGAAATATTGCAAGAAAACAAAATGATGCCAATAATGAGTTAGTGATGATGCCTCACAACTCATTGCATGATAGTTCTAATTAATGAGAATTTGGATTTGATACAAATCTCTCATTTAGCTAAACAAAAATTTATGAAGTTAAATTTTATTTAAATTTAAATTCATTTTTTATTACAATTTGTTTGCAATTTCAAATCATTTTTATACCTTTATCATTTAAAATTCTAGTCATTTGAAGCATATTATTCTTTTTCTATTTTCTTTATTAATACCTTTATGACTTTTTATTTTTCTCATCTCTGATTCTTGTCTCTCGGTTAAAAAAATGAAGGTAAACTTTTTATTTTTGTTTCCAATATCGACTTATATATAATTGTCATTTGAAATTTTTTAAACTATAAACTCAAAAAAAATTTAATATATAAATTTTAAATATAAAATTTAGATATAAAATTTAAATTCAAATCTACCAATTCAAACATTATTTTAAAGTAGATGGAAGACTAAATAAATCAAAAATTTATGCATACGGTGCTCAGTCTACTTTCAAGGTTTTGATTTCAGCAGGATGGAAACATACAAACTCATATATTATCAAGATCTGGCAAAGCACCTGAAGCGTCCTTTAACATGGAGGCACTAATATATAAAATATATGCAAGTGGCTCATGCCCAAGCTGCAGGGTGTAAACTCAAAAAGGGTGGCATTTGCAAAATGACCATGGATAGCATGATATAGGTCGTGGAATGATCCTTGACCAAGTCTATGCACTTAATTTTGGAGAACTGTGCACAAGACAATTAATTGAGTGCTTAGTGAAACTCACTGGAAATGTTTCGAAATGCAGCTGGGAAGTTCTCTTATGAAATACTCCCTTCATTTTCATTTGTAAGACACGTTTTAATATATTTATTTAATTTTATTTATAAATCACAGTGTGATTTTTTAGATAACAATTAAATCATATTTTTAAAATTATCTTTTATGAGAAAAAAGTAATATAATATCATTTTTAAGATTTATTATATTAGAATATATTTAAAATTTTATATATTTTTTTTATTTTTTTATATTAGTATTGATAATATTAATAAAAATGATTTTGAAGGAGTATTTATTAGAAGAGTGTAAACTCACTAAGTCATTGATGTTAGGGGCGCGCGCGCATGCAGGGATTGAGGCAAGTGCATAACAGGGACGGCTATAAATTAGAGGCTGAATTTGGGCTGGCCCTCTTTCATCCCAACCATGAAACCTAGAAGGATCTATGTCGCACTAGTCCATCTTTGTTAAACCCAACCACCTCATCTACTAAAATTCTTTGTTTCGCTGAAGCTGTGAACTCTCTGGCATCATGCAATGCGTTATTCAAATTGTCCATGTTGTCGGAGACTTCCAAAGACAATCGAGCATTTTGAGAATTTGTCCTCTGAATCTTTCATAGAAACTTTAATTTCTACACATTTGAATGGGATGTACGGTAGCCAGTCTCACTACAGCGATATTTGTTGTCAACCTACAAATCCAAAAGTAACTTGTAGATAAAAGAGCTCAGAAAGATAGAGAAGGAAAAGATACTCCATTTGGATTAAACGCGCGTGCGCAAGGGCATGCAGTAAGAGGTATTACATTGTCCTAATTACAGTAGACTTGTACACAGGTTTGAGACTTTTTTTTTTTTTTGGTTTTTGGTCAAGAGTTTGAAACCTTAACTACTTTTTGGAGAGGATGATTGAAGAGCATGGATTTAAAGTCCCATACCACAAATTCATTATATTGTGCAACTCTCCAATTCCACATCGGTATCAAGCTTAACAAAGACTGTCACTAAATTGGTCATGACAACGTTTAATTTTTCCATGTTTAAACAAATTGAACTTGTCGCGAATGAATGCATAACTCATCGATATCTCCTGGTGTCGCAAAAACAAATGCAAACTTTTGAATTTTCTTCAAGATATTGTCATCCATAATACTCTTGAGTACATATTACTTCAAATAAAGGGTCAAATTTCAACTAACAACCCACATGTCGTTTCACCTATTCAGAAAGTTTGTATTGTTTCAAACAGTAAAGCTTCATTCTGCATGTGTGCCACTGCTACTTGTAGAAGATTTCTTACCACCATACTTCTGCAAAAGATTAAAGGGAATGAAGTTTTATCTAAAGCACAAGATATAAAGGAAGAAAAGCTTGCTTGTGCTGGACTTTATGTTATAACAAAAAAAAAAAAATGATAGGGACATCAGTGCAAGGAAAAGAGCTGTAAAAGAATTTTAACATTAGTGCAAAAAGCATTTTTCATCACACTGAAAATGCATTTTTGGCGATAGAAAATGTTGTGTAATAAAAGATTGTAGGATAGTAAATAGATATTTTTTATCACATGTCAAATAGAATTGTGGCGAAAGATGTTATTTTTTGCCATAAGTCTCATATCAACTTTGGCAAAAAATAGCATATTTTACCACAGGTTTCAACTTACTTGTGGCAAAAAATAGCATTGTTTGCCATAAGTTTCAACTCACTTGTGGCAAAAGATGTAATCTTTTGTCATAGTTCACAATTCACCTATGACGAAAAATAACATCTTTCATCATAAGTCCAAGCTCACCTACGACAAAAGATGAGTTTGGAGATGCATTTATGGCTATAGTTTTAGCCATAACTATTGCCATAAATGAATCTTTTACTGTAGTTATTGTTATAACTGTGGCCATAAATATTATTTTTTTTATAGAATTACTTATAACTATATACATCCTTTACTTATAAAACTTGCATTAATATATAAATAGTAGCTCTAGAGATCAATACAAATATATTTAGTGCAAATATATGAACAAAAAATCTAAATTTCCAATTCAAATATTTAGAAAGTTTCTACTCTAATCCTGTTAATTCTAAAAAAAACTAGACCACGAAATTTGTATATGTCTCAACTTTTGTTTAGAATATGGTTCTAAACTTTGAAAGTGCTGCAAATTCAATAACAATATACGTATGAATAATAACTCAAGTATACAGCAAACTTTATAATTATAAATCATTATTAATAAATTATTACTTGATCAAATGAGCGAATGATACCTAGTTGAGGACACTATAAAGAAAAAAATAATTAAATTCATTAAACTAATATTATAATTTTCATTCTAATTAATGAATAAATTTAAAATACTTACTTGCATTGGCACCTACTTGATTTTATTTTTTATTAATGTAATAAAAAAATTCCTCAGCAAAATACAAATGAAATTATCGAAACATTCAGCCAAATGATAACAATTAAAAAAATACAAATACAAGAAACACAAACTAAAGGATGCCACCAACAATATGAGAATCTTGCTACTGAGAGTTCTTCACGAAGACTACCAGAACATTAAAAGACTAAAAGATTCTTTTTTTTTCAAACCTACAAAAAATAGTTAGAGTGATGAAAACAGAATAAATATAACCAAATTTATATTCATGTCGGAAATCAAAGAAGATGAAAGAATAAGGATTTCGAATGCCCCACCAGAGCTTGCATCTTCAGGGATTTACACGTTGCTAAAGAAAGAGGAAAAATTGCATCTCTAGTCCACCATAAAAAAATTGTGTGCACCATATAAAAGGAGAAAAATCCTTAAAGAAGCAATCTTTTTTAACTCTGCACAGTACACCTTCAATTTTAAGAATAGAAAAGACAAAAATATTAAATTAAAGAGATATATAAGAAAGATAAAAGTATAAAAGAAATATATTAGAGGATGAAGAAGATGAAGAAGAAGAAGAAGAAAGGTGGATGAAGAAGTTTTATTAAATGAAGGAGCAGAAAGGATAAAATAGAGAAGAAATATATCAAATGATAAAAAAGATGAAATGCAGATGAAGAAGTTTTAGAAGATGAAGAGGTAGAGCTGTGCAAAGATGAAAATTGAGACTAAGTGCGCTTCCGTAGGTAACAAGAATCTGGTGTGCGTAATGCCAATGAAAAAATGAGAGAGGAAATGTAACAAAAGAAGATATTTTTCCATGGTTTTCTGATAAGTTTTTGTTAGAAACCGTGAGTATTCCCATAGTTTTAGCTAAAACCATGGAAAAATAGTAATTTTTTAAAACCGTGGAAAATGCATGGTTTTTTTAGTGGTGATAGTATAAGTAATTATATTGATCAAATTTAAACTAATTTAAGGATTAAGTTATTCTCATTCAATTACACATGCATATCAAGTTAATTAATTTTCATTTTAAAACTTCAAATACTTTACATATTTGATTATTTTAATAGTTAATTTATATTTTAAAACTTCAAGAACTTACATGATAATTTAAAAAAAATATAAGGGATCAAATTAATAAAAAAAAAACTTGAAGGATCAAATTGATAATTGAAACAAATTTGAGAAACTAAAAGTTTTATTATCACATTTTTTTATTAAATATCTAAATCTAAATTATCTAAAAATCACTTATCACTTATTTTTTTTAATAAACCCTAAAACTAATGGCCCACTATCTTAAAGAATGATATTGTACATTAAATATTAAATAACTTAATTAATTTTAAAAAACCAAGCTGATTTAACCTAACTAAAATATGTTGTTAAAAAAGAAATATGAAAATATAACTTTAAATTCTTATACTTCACTCGAGTTTTACTACAGGTTCCTACATTTTTTTTTTGTATTTTAAGTCTAAATATTTTTTTTCCTGATATTTTAAGTCTCTCCATGAGTAGTGTTATAAAAATTAAGAATATTAAAAAAAATATAAGGATCTAGAATATTGAAAATAAATTTAAGAGATCTATAATAAAACTTACGTTTTTCCAAATAAATCAAACACTCGTTGATTCGGAAATACTGAATCAAATTCTGGCAAAAAAAAAAAAATACTGAATCAAAAAAATAACACGCGGAAATAAACTCCTAGTATCAAGTCAATATAAAACAAAGCTATAAAGCCATAAAAATGGAAAAGGATTAAGCAGCCTTGAGTTGGAAGCTGAAAACATGATAACCTCCTAGGCCTAGCGAGCACCATCTAAGAAGGCCTGAACTCTGCCATTGACAGGGGCAGAGAGAAACTTCATGCAAATAGGAGCCTTCACTCCAGCCAGTGCCAGGATAGCCGCAGGAATACCCCACAGAGATTCGCCACAGATGAGTCCTGAAGCCAAGGCGGGACCAAAATCTCTTGCCTTCTGCTTGTTCTTCCTCTCCCACAAGAAGAGGATCAAGCTCCCAACGCACATGTCAATGGCAAAGTAACCACCGAGGTAAAATGGGATGGCCAAGCTCATGGCATTTGGAACAAGCCTGTGTATCCTGTACTTGGACTCGTAACGCCTCAACAGATCATGTATTATGTTTATGAGAATGGCAAGAAAGAAGAACATTATAGCGAGTTTAAGGCAGTTCTTAGGAAGGGAAGAGAAACCCTCTACTCCGAGAAGGGAAATCCCGCGGTACACTTGCCCAAAGGGTGCAGGGTAGGACCCATTCGGGTCCCCGATGTTATAGGCTTTGTAGAAAAACCAGAAAACCAGAGGTGTAGCAAAGCAACCCATGGCCGTGCCTATTACTTGGCTGAAGAACATGGAGCGAGGAGAAGCGAGCGTGAGATAGCCAGTTTTGAAGTCCTGCATGAGATCAGAAGCTGTAGAAACAATGCTCATCATGACACCGCAAGAGGCAAGGCCAGCAATTACACCACCCTTGTCAAGGCCAACCCAACCACTGAAGATGAGGATGGCAATCTTGCCGTAGTTAGAGGCTAGAGACCAGTCAGTGAGACCGCACCCATAGGCGTTGCAGAAGGCCAGAACTGGAGCTATCAGATAGGCCACAAGTATATGGTACCATTTCAGTTGGGGGAAGATGTGCGACACTGCTACAATGGATACAATCGCAAGCACTGCATAACCAGTGCAAGCAACCCACATGGGAATCTGGTCTCTCAAGAAGTAATCTTTTCGAATCCTGTCGTCGTTGTCTTCATTTTCAGAATCACCGTTTCCTCCCTGCGGTGAAGATGACACTTTCTTCTTTGTGAACTGTGCTACAAGGCTGCACCCTGTTTGGGTTAGCATGTAGACACAATGGTAAATACCATCTCCAAGTATCATGGCAATTGCTACAAATACCTGTCAAATTGCTATTTTGATTAGAAATTCTGGAATCCCCTCTGTCAGGAATCATTTGGCCCACTGGTATATATCAAACATTTTTCACGGTGTTTAAGATTCTTACTGTTGATATGTATTTTATAAAAGCTGAATGAAACAACTTAAAAGACTTGTGTTGTGCGGGATATCCATGGTTTCCATGTGCATGGCATGTAACACAATTAAAACTGACATGGCATACTATGCGTCTCCTAATATTTTATTCAAGGATCATATACATACTAGGGCACCAAAAAAATGCAACCAAAAAGTAATAGGATCAAGATAATATGCATATAATCTACCTTGTATCCTTGGAGGCCATGCAGACTAGAAGCCGGTAGATCCGCGCTATACCAGATTCCTTTCTTGTGCTCAATCCAGGGCCACATAATACCCCATGAGATTATGGATCCAATGACCAAAGATACGTTGATGATGTAAGGGCAGATCATTCCAACACCCACATAAGTAGATGAGAAATCAAAGTAGAACCTGCAATATCATAGATAATTATTCATATAATATATTCATGTCCATGTATAAGTTGATGGCAGGATTAAGCCAGTGGCATATGCTAGCTTTTTCAGTAACGGTGACAAAAGGAGATTAATCAGCACAGAACATTTATAGATTTGGGGACTTGGGCGGAAAATATATGTACACGTACTTTTGCTTATATGCTTGGAGACCAAATGTCGGGAAACTGGAAAATCCACATTCGTCAGCCGTGGCAAAAAACCACTGGAAGAAAGCAAAAAGAAAGCTGCCACAAAAGCTTTTGAAGAGCAGAGAGACTTGTTTCCTGTATCCATATATAAGATTGAGCGGGTTATAATGCTAACGCTAGCGATATCAAATAATTAAGAATGACTTAAATGAATAACCTTTCTATTATTCGTTTTTATTAATTAATTACAATGAAGTTTCTTCTACATGAACTTACTTTGCTAGCCTTGCTCCTTTTGGAGTGTGGAAGCTATTGATAAGAAGAGCTGTAGCGGTTCCACTTGGATACGTGAGCTTGTACTTCAAAATCATCATCTGGGGGACATACCCAATTCAATGTTACGTTAATTTTAAAAAGTGGCCATCCTTTTTCATATTCCGCTTCTACTTGAAGATCGAAAAATTTCTAGGTATACAAGTAAATTAACATGAATGCAAAATAAGAAGATTATCAAACTATTTGTAATACCTAGAGAAAAGTGTCTACTTTTATTAAAAAGAATACATGATCCGTGAACTGTTAGAGATTTAGTATACAAAATAGCACAAACCTTTCTTAGCGGGACAATAGAGAACAAGCCAACAAAGCTAACGGCAAAGAGGAAACCAAACATCCAACCAAGGCTGAGAGTCTTTGTATTGATTGGGGTACTCTGTGCCGCGCCTCCTTGAGCCGCAATATATGGACTCATCCCAAGTAAGTAACTTGCAGTGCCACCTATAATTTTCACGGCAGAGACATTAAACTTGATGTATTTGGATAGCCGAAATGCATTTATATCTTAATTAGAGAGACAAACACAAATGATAGCCTCACTGATGATGAATGAAAAATTTATTCAAGTTCATAGATCGAGCAAATCAAGATTGTTTTTTTTTTCCTTTAAATAATTCATAATGTTAATAGAGTGATGCATATCATTTTTTTAAGTTTAGAAATCAATCAAATAAATCATCGATATGCGTGCAAGTAAAATTCGTAGTCAACTCCTGTATTCAAAAGAAATATCACGCAAATTAAACCTGAATGTGAAATCCTATTTATCTTGCCAATCAACTAAATTGTTGTATGCGTGAACATAGATCATTTTGATACTTTGAGAGTGACACATGCGTACTGCTAACCTTGATAAAGCAACGTGACGTAGTTAATATGAAATTCATGTGTCGATCAAGTGATCCTCTCAAGAAATTGAGAAATCGAGAGAATAGAAACCCAATTTGGGATGCCGGGGAGAAATTGATTATATATACACAGAAGGATTGGCGAGAGAGGTATGAATGCATGGATGAACATGACATAAAAGTAAAAATTAATGAAGGGAAGGAGGGAGGGAAATTAAGATACAGACCGCTAAAGGCGATGCCGGAGGAGGCAACGACGCAGGTCTGGATAACAGTGTTCTCTTGGCGAGTGAAGGGCTGTTTGAGGAGGCCGAACTTGGAGAGAAGCGCAGTGTAGGACTTCAAGACGGCGAAACCTAACAAGCCGGCGGCGACATTGAGGGATGGAATGACGCCGGTGGTGAGGTTGAGTTTGCAGACAATGAAGTTGAAGACGATGCTCAGCAAAAAACTCGTCACCAAACACCTCAACGTTATCTGCTTCTGCCATGGCGGCACCTTGGTCTTTTTGAACGCCTCTTCTCCCTTCAACACATCATCGTCTTCTTCCTCATATTCCCTGGGATCTCCGGCCATCTCTCGCACAGATCACTCTACGTCGAAATTTGTGGGTGCAATATAATTATATTTATATATATGCAGAATTATTATTAATATTAATATTAATGCTAATGGCCGAAACAGTAAATCAAGTGCGTGCATGAACATATTAACTCTTACCCTGTTCTCGAAAACAGGTCAGGTACAACTGGACTGACGACGCAAAAAGCGAGGGCCAGCCGAAACGAAACCCCGCTACTGCAAAGCTGGCTTGCTCGGAATAGGAGTAGGAATGATCTCACCTGATTTTTTTTTTTTTTTTCGTTGGATATGATCTCACCTGAATTTACTCGCTTCCTTTTTATTTTAAATTCAAATTCAAATATATATATAAACCAGTAAATCAGATTTTCATATTTTATATATATCCTGCGATTAATTTGATTTAAATGATGACTATATATTGAAAACGTAACATTTTTTTTATCGAAAGTAAATCAGATTTTCATATTTTAATTTTGATCTCAATTAAATTATTTTGATACTGTAGTTAATGCAAATAAAGGTTTTGAATTATGAAACAACATTTGGTGCGGATGATGAAGTTTTTAAAATCTTTTAAGTTTGTTTCAATTATCAATTTAGTGCCTCAAATTTAATTTTTATTGATTTGATTCTTTATTTTTTTTAAATTACTGTGAGGGTCTTTTAAATTTTAAAACATAAATTGATTTTCAAAAAAATCTAATGTATAAATATATGTAGTTAAATGAGAATAAATTAAATGAGAATATCCTATGTTTTGTTCTCTTGCTATTTAAAATTTTAGAGTCTTTTATCTTATTTAAATAATTATACTTCTTTTCATTAACTTATATAGCTGCCATCAAGTTTTTTTATATCAGCAAATTTTAACAGTGTAACAACCTTTTTTAAATAATAAGAACCAACCAAAGTAAACTTAAAAAACTAAATTAATAAAAATTAAATTTGAGAAACCAAATGAATAATTGAAACAAATTTAAAAGACTAAAAGTTACATGAAAGAATGACAAAAAAATCCCTTTGAAATTGAAAAATGACAATGTGGTTGCACAAAATTTAATAATGACAGTGATGTCACAAGTTTGATTTGCCAATAACTAAAACAATTTAAAAAATTATAATTTTTTATTAATAATTTTTTTCATTCAGTAAAATTTAACTAATTTTATATGGTTCACAAGTTTGATATAAATATTAGCAAGATTAGTTTTATCAATAACTAAAATAATTTAAAAAATCATAACTTTCTATCAATAAAGTCTAACTAATGTTATATCATTTATAAATTTGATATAAGTATTTACAAATTTAATTTCATTAATAACTAAAACAATTTAAAAAGTTACTACTTTTTTAATCACAGAATGATACTAAAGTAATTTTATATAAAAATTTAATTTTAAAAAGATTCCTTGAAAGTTGAAACCTTGGTATCATTATTATAGGATCAAATTATTATTTTTCTATTTCAAAGAGGTTCATCTTTCCTGAGTCACGTTATCCCCAACATCTGTTAAGGTTATAGTACCATTCTGCTTCATTAGTTTGCCTTTTGTTTTACTCAAAACGGAATAACCTTTTATTTGTTGAAAGCATTTGTGAGGCTAATAAAATCAGCCAATTTATAAAAAAAAAAATAAAACAAAATCTAATTTATATATGTTTTGTTAATCAGCCGATTTTTACAACTTTACTTATTTATGTTAATGTTAATTTCTCAAGATATGTAATCATATAATCACATAAATATAACAAAATTAACTATTAACTTAGTAAAATGAAAACACGAAATTTTATCTTCTTGTAATCTCTTTTTCGTTGTGGAACATCCTGTCTAAAAGTGGGATTGTCTTGGGATAGAAATAAATTAGATCAAGTTAGGTTCTAATTAAATAAGCCTAAGCTTGTATAATAAGTTAGAGACCTGAGCTTGATTTAAAGCTTGTATAAAGCTTTTCTGATAACTTAAGTCTGAGTTCATTTAAAGCTTGGTTTGATTTAAAAGCCTATTTAAAAGTAATCTTTTTAAATAAACTTGCATTTTAATTTTAAATGTCTCAAATGCACTTTGGGACTATTAATATAAACATATAAACTGATTTATCAATTACAATATATAATAATTAAAAGAAGTTATCAATTACAATGCAATACAATAATAAAGTAATAATATTAAAATCAATATATAAATCCAATTTGATTGAAAACATAACTAAAAATAAAAAAATAGATTGATTAAAATTAAATTGTGAAACTGATGTTACATTACACACACACACATATATATATGTGTAAATAGGTTGACTTGTTGGGCTCGTAAGTTAGGCCTTAAAAAATTAGACCTAGCCTATTTAATTAAACATGCTTAATTAAAGGCTTAAATTAAACTTAGCCTAAACCTATTTAGTACATAGGCTAAATTAAATTTGAAATAATCGAAAACAAAAGCCTGACCTATTCCAACCTTTAATTATCTAGAGCAAAAATAAACAAGAGAAGATAATTATAACAAATTGGATTATGCATTCCAACGTTTCGTTCATTTAACACCAATCTAATTTAATTTAAAATTTATTTATAATTAGATTAGATTACAAATCTGCCCAATGGTAACTATTGATTTTGTTTGACATATCATTGTTTATAACTTATCATTAGTTTTTTTTGGGTTAAAATCTTATCGTCAATTTGTTTTTTTGGTGGGACAAAAGTTTTAGTGAATTAAGTCTCAACTCACTAAGACCATGGCACACCTCCATACTCAAAGAGCACTAATGAAATATTCATGGGTTGTCTACTAGCAAGACACAACACAACAAAGTAAACCCTAAATCTAGTACAAAATTATTGGATTAGAAGGTACAGTGAAAAATTAAAATTTAAATCTTAACCGTGATTGCGGACCAATTGAAATTGTTTAAATCAAAGGGAATAGAAGAAATATCTTTTTTAGTGTTAAACTTCTCGAGTTTTCTTCAAGTGTTTAGACTTCAAGAGTTGACAATGCAGATCGACTTTCTCTATTGGTATTCATATGAACAACTTTCCAACACGAACAACGTGATAATGCTTCCAACTTCCACCCATCAATCAGACACTTCTTTTATTTTTAGGATATTTTCATAACTCTCAAAGTTTTGTTGTCAATAGACTCTCTCTCTCTCTCTTTCTCTAAAAACTCATCCCTCATCTATATTATATAGATTAAGGTTTTTGTAATTAATGAAATTAAATTAAATTTATCTCATAAATTTAAATTATAAAATTGATATGATATCTTCTATCATATTAGTCATTGAATTAAATTTATCATATAAAACTAAATTTAAACCAACACAATAATATAATAAAATATAATATAATATATTAGATATATATTATTATATTACACACACACGCATATTTTGAAAATATATATTTTAAATTTTAAATTTTATATACATATATATGTACCAATGTTTATCAGATAAATATTTAAATATATATATATATATATGAAATTCATTCACCTTAGATAAAAACATTATATTTATTGAATATAGACGCATTTCAAATTCAATGAATTTAAATATTATAGCTCAAATTGGATTGTTCTTTTGTACGACCTTGTAGGCTCATATGAAGTTAGCAATGGGCTAATAACACTACTAGCCCATAAATCACAAGTGGTCTCTAGTAAGACATTGCAATTACCCAATTTATATAGAGATCATATCTGATGTAACTTATCATATAATTGTATCACATTCCTTTTGTCATGCGATATTTTGATCAAGTGTGAGACGTGAAATTGTCATTCTTCTTTACTTGACCATTATTTTCTTGATCTCTGGTTGGACTGACTATAATAATGTAAAAACCCTTTTTATTATAGTATGGCCATATATTTTATCAGTTTCACTTATTGAGAGACCTGGTAATATTTCTCAATTAATGTGAGGGATAAATTTTATCTTGATCACTTATATTCCTCTTTATGAATATTACTAAACTCAATTATAGTATTTATGATCACCTTATTAAAGGTGACTTTTAACTAGATCAAAGTTAAGTGGTCATTATGTAGGAATCCGTGATGATTTAAGGTTAAAGGGCTAGTGACATGGTTACATATGAGATAAGCTTATGACTTGTACCATGCAGCTTTCTCATAGCAAGTCGATCCAGCACCTTGTCCCATTTCAAGTGCCTACAACTTTAATTTATATCTCTATAATGAATTAAAGTCATACTAATCTTGTTTTATCTATGATTCCTCATAAATGATCGACTAGAGATATTTAATCATTATAGTTCATCCAATGATATAATTATCATGACGAACATGATTACATAAGAGATAAGCTTATGACTTGTATCATGCAGCTTTCTCATAGTAAGTCGATCTAGCACCTTGTACCATTTCAAGTGCCTATATCTTTAATTTATATCTCTATAATTAATCAGAGGTATACTAATCTTGTTTCATCTATGATTCCTCATAGATGATTGACTAGAGATATTTAGAATAATCACTATAGTTCATCTAATGATACAATTATCATAACGAACATGCAATTAATATGATAACAAAAGAGAAATTCATTAATAACAATGTTTACAGTACAATGATTGGCTCTAAAGTATAATTTTTAATATTGTACAAAACGATATAAAGAAAGAAAAGAAATGACACCATCAAAACCATTCCAAGCCTTAAGACAAAAGCAAAAAGCAAGAAATCTCGCTGCTGTCGTAAAAATGTTAAGAGACTCGAAGTTGTACAAGAAAATAGGGATGGAAGCTCATGAAACCATTCTAACAATTCAATTCTTATGAAAATAATAATTGTTGCACAGATAATAGATTTATCACTTTCAAGCATCATATTCCACATAAAGAGAATCAAAATCACTCGTAGCAAATACAAATTAGCTACTAACATAAAAAAAAAAACTATCTCTATTACAAACTACCACTTATCAAATTAGGAAACCCAAGTCAAGACCTAAACATCAAACCTAAATCATCAAGACTCATAAAAAAACCTTATACCTCTTAGCTTGTGAGAAGTCGCAAGACTTATGATCAACCATCATGTAAATCCCCTTTTTTTTTTCAAATAGACAAGCTCTTATTGATACCAATCAAACTCCCATCCCATTCTCAACAATTCAAATTGAAAGAAGAAACAATTCATACCAACACAAAGAGATAGAAAACCAACCATCCATGCACCTATGCTGGACATGCCTCTCATGATAAAAATCGAAAAGAGAGACATCGGAGGACAAAAATCTTAAAAGAAACTCCCATTGATCGGGAGAGTAAAACTTCCACAAGAAAACCTTAGGAAATGATTTTATAAAAAGGTACGATTTTTCTTAGGTTATTGACCATCATGAAGTATATTGAACACCTATAAGCAAGAGGTATGCTCCCTTTGGTCCAAAATATAAGTATGTTCACTTAACTAATCTTGATTCAAAATATAAGCAATCTAGTATATGTAAAAAAAATTTTTATTTTACCCCTTGTATTTATTAACTTAAATTTTTGTGTAAATGTATCTCTCACTGAAGTGCATTAGTAATTGAGATTAAGGATAAAAAGAGAAAATAATATATATTTTTATTGGAACTAATATCTTATTGGTATGCAAATTTTTCCTAAAAACTAATATTTTGAATAGGAGGGAGTACCTATTTAGCCAATGAGGCCAATAAGGGTTTGGTCTCAGGATAAGCTAATATCTCATAATATGATAAACCAATTTTTAAATTTTTGAATTCCATTTCTATGATCATCCTACTCACTATTGAAATTTTTTACTATTCATTTTCTTTCAAATATCAATTACTAACATAAAAGACAAACATAGCTGGAATTTCCAACTTATATTTTGTAATACAGCTGAAAACACTTAAAAGTTAAGTTATAAAATAATACATATATAAATTTTAAATTCTCAAAGTTTAGTTGAAATCGTTTTCAATTAATCATTCTTTTCCATATTCATTCATCAATTAAATTTTTTTAGGAAAATATCACCAAAGAACCACCAGCATTATTTTGTATCAAAGAAAAACTTTAAAATTATGATTTTTTGCTGCACTCCCTTTATCTTTAGCTAAAAATAAATTTGTATTAGAAATGACCAAATTACCTTTAAAGTTTAAAATAACTAGTGTTTACCCTACATAAACAATAAGTCTTTCACATTTTAACGATAACCAATCTATGATTAACAACACATTTGAAAAAACTCACAAATTTAATACCACAGGTGTTTATCATGCATAAACAATAAGTCTTTTGAATTTTGACAACAATTAATTTATAATTGATAACAACACATTTAAAATTTTACAAGATTGAAAAATTGAAAACATAGGTTTAATAGAATATGTACTCACCTTATGCAAACAAACATTTAAGTTTTGATAATAATTAATTCACAATTAACAACATATTTTGTATTTAACACTATTGAAAAACTAATAGCAAATGTCTAATAAAATAATTATTCATCTTATATAAACAAGTCATTTAAATTTTGATAACAATTAATTCGTAATTGATAATACATTAGAACATTAACAACTAATTTTTATTTAATTGTTCCTCTTTCATTAAGGGGGGCAATTAAATCGTTTTCTATAAAAAATTATTTTTAGCTGTCAATAAAAAAGGCACAGTAAAAAATCAAATATTAAAATTCTTTGATATAAAATTCCTCTCGTGGTTCTCAATTGATATTTTTCCAAATTTTTTCCCTCCCCTCCTTTTCTTTCTGATTTCTCCCTTTAAAATATCGTGCTAATAAATGTTCCTCTCTCCTTTAAAAGTGAGGAATTAGGAGGAAATGAGGAATCATCAGAATCTCTCCTGTACCATCTGTTCTACTGTCAAATGCGAATTAAAGCGAAATTTCATCCAACCATCATTTTTCAAATTAAGATTCAAGAACAACGTGGCGCTGCTTGGTCAATTGGGGCAAAACGTTATGAAAAGATGCTATCCTGCTTATGAATGTTGCCAGCCAACAAGTGGAATCTTTGAATTATGATCGGCAAAAGTCTAGATATTTGAGTTGACAGATGACCACGTGATCCTTCCTATATAGAAATAATGCTAAGAGTCAACTACGTAATGGGGTAAAATCACTGACTTATGATCCGAAAACAGGGAGAGAAAAAGCAAAACAAAAATACTAACTTTAAGTCCGTAGTTGTTGCGACGTCAGTTAACTTTGGGACTGGAGTAAAATGTTGGGTCCCTAAAAAACCTGGAAATTATCTCGGCCTTATCAGTTGCAAGATCCGTGTTCTCTACAATTTGCTCTTTTGATGCTTTGGCAACTGCTTGGACAGAACCAACGGCTTGACAAAGCTGAATCGAGCGACCAGAATAAGAAAAAAGAAAACAACCGAAGGTCTAAACTATAACTAAGTACGCTATAACCCCTGGTTGCGAACATCGGTTTCAAAAAGAAAGAGCAAACTGTGATTTTTGCAGCATCCTGTGCAAGTTCAATAAATCAACGTAACCAAGAGTCTTGAGCTTCAGCAAAGAGGGGTGAGTTAGATATTTACCGCGTTTGCATCATGATTGTCAATGCCAGGAATGGATGTAATCACTTTAAGGTATTGATCCATTCCTTGCACTAATTGCCTCCTCTTCATGAACAACAGAAGAGTCATACATTGATGTTAGTTTCACTTGTCCAAGAGAACGGCTGATAACCTGAATGCGACGTGCTTCCGTTAAGTAAATGAGTCGAGCAACTGACCTCAGCCTTTAATTTATCTCTAATTTTCTGCTGCTTGCATACTGCACTCAGTTTGTCATGAAATAAGAAAGAAATATATATCGGAACAACACGTTGTAGTTAGTTTCGGTGACAAGATCATACCCCCCGAAGAATGAGCTATTTTGACCATCTTTTCAAAGCCCATCTCCAGGTCTTGAACCGGCACAAAAGTTGGCTTGCCAATCACCATATCGAACCTTCACGTTTCCATCAACCATCCCATTAAAGTTTTTTTTTTTAATACAAACGTTAGCAAAAGACTAAAGATTGAAAAATAAACAACAGGATAATTATCCCACGTACCTGGAATTGAATCTAAGGTCATAGCTCATCATAGTTATTTCATAATTAGAGGTTGTTTGGTTTAAGACTGCTGATTTTTTAAAAGAAAAAAAAAACTGTTTGATTTTACCTTCATGCTTTCCGCCCTCGATAAAACCGCATTCACCCTCTGAAACCACGTGAGGATTTGATAACAGTGTACATCCTTATTTTGCCCTTAAATTTTAAATATTTAAATATTAAAAATGTTTTAATAAAAGCAAAACATAAGGTTTAATTTTTTATTTTTAGAACATATTTTAAATAATAATAAGTTAATTATGCTATTATTAATTATAGATATATTTGTTACATCTTGAATAAAAAAGCTTTAATATTTAAATGTAAAATCTAATCAAATCTCTAAGAATCCTTAAAATCTAACTAACATATGATATCTTTTTTAGTAATTACACATCAAAAAATTGTTAAAATAAATAGTATCCAAACAAAATTAATTATTGTCAACACCACTTCTTTAAAAAAAAAAAGAAAAAAAAAAGTCGCCAGATAGAAATCAAATTTAGCCAGACCTTTTTTTGTTAAAAATAACGTTGTTTCAAATGGGCACTAAAACCATTGTAAAACCATGTTGAATTATAGCAATGTATTTCGGAACTCACTCGAAGTATGCTCGAAAAAATGATTCCATTTGCTCCTTTGCTGGGAGGATGATGACGACATAAAAACGTGCGAATTGCATCTTGAGTTTCTGAATTCTGCATGAGAAATCAGACATGTAGCTCTAAACTATTAGAGAAACCCAAGGTAAAAAAATCCTAGTTTTGCAGACTCATCACCGGCAGAAGATTGGAGACACATTGTTGTGATCCCAAGTTGTCACAAAAATGAAGGCAACAGACAAACCCCCACAATTGAAGATAAAGTCCTACAGGGAAACTCCTCAAATTTCACTGATGAACCAGCGTTGAAACAAGTGGAGAAACAGAGAACAAAGAATTGGCCGTTACCGGGGCAATAAGGACAATATTAAGGCGAAAAGAATTTGTGCTGAGGAAAGTGGAGATAAAATTGATGAAAGACGCGTGTTGTTCCTCTTTCCAAGAGTTTCTCATCAGACAGACTCCACTGCTACCTGCAGCAAGATTAACGAGGGGCATAAGCAAAAAATGCTTGAATCAATGTTCGAACTGGGAAGCATTTTTTTGAGGTTAAAAATTAAAAAATGTAGTGAATGGCAGCATCAATTTGCCATTGTTGAGGACATGGTGAAGACAAGTAATGTAAGGATTAGAGCATATGTGATATGCATCTAAAGGATCAGGGGAAAATAAAAGCGTAAGCAGGAGAGGTAGTTTCGTGTTACACCCTGAGGACAATGAATAAATCTAATCCAAGTATCGTGAAACTTCGTGTTAAAACACTGCAAACAGAAATGATCGGATAAGTACGAAAAGAAACAAAAAGCTTTAAATTGTTCATAACAAAATTGATAAGGGATATTTTTTCGCCCCACATTGATGGAGGAGGAACTTTTTGCTACATGCCTACTGCATTTCATTTGGACATCTGATCCAGATTTCAAAAAAGTGAGCGCCACCACATCCACGTATAGTATAAATTAAATATTGATATTTTTTACCTAATCATGCATATTAAAACATTTTTAATCTTTAATGCCAAACTTTTTTTAAAAAATATTATTAAAAATAGAAAATTATAAAAATATATTAAATCTGGACTGCTGTTTCATCAAGGATCAGTTTCCGGCACATGATCCTTCCATGCTTTTTATCAGAAGCACCCCACTCCTTTTCCCCTTCATGTTAGTAAGGGAAGCATTCCCTTTTGTAATCCTAACAAACAGAAGGCATGCAACCAAGAAATTGCACATTGTTCACTCTTTCGCAATTCATTTTCCTTCCAAGTTCGAAGGAAGTACAAGTAAACTTCATTCCGGAAAAGAGACAGACTAAAACACTTCAAAAGGTTTGAAAGCAAACTTGAACAATTTTTTTTAAAAAAATGTGCTAGGCATGTCTCCTTCTCGTTCCCGTGCTTGTACATGATTCGTGAATATCCGCCTCTTGCTCGAGAGTGGATCTATTTTGGACAACATGCGAGTCCCAAATTTTTGGTGTTTAACTCTGCTACGTGGTAATCTTCGTATAATACACACACACACACACACACTGCAAATCTCAGGTAAGTGCTATAAACTCTGTATTGAACATAAAAGAATGCAGGTCACTCAGGACTTAACCCAATGCAGACAAACACACACACACACAGAGTCATAAACTTAGTTTAACCTAAGAGAAAGTTTGAAAGCACCTAATCCAGAATAGTCAGAAATCAAATAAAGATGAAGAGCAAAGAGTGGCAAACAGTTTTTTTGACTCTTCCAATCTTTGGGTCCACAAAATACGTAGATTAATAATTTTTCCTCTATTAAAAAGAAACACGTATACCGGATTGTGTGATATGCCACGGAGTTGGAGTGGTTGAAGGTCTGTGGCTAAATTCCAAATCCTTCATCTCCATAACCAAATCGAAGAGAGATCTGGAAAAACAGCAGAAAAGTGAGAAGTAACCATAGGCGGACCTATGTTACACTCGCTGAAATCTTTGAAATATGCATGGATGATATTATGCCCTTTTAATTTTTGTTCCAGATAAGCCAATTGATTCGGACAACTCCAAGCAACTGAAGAATGGCAATGATAAAACTCTTGCGATTTATGATCTTAACTAAAATGAAAAATTAGAACAAAGCAAGAAATGGTGCGACGGCGTCCGACGGTTGATAAACACGTAGGTAACAGATGACGTGGGGAATGGAACAAATTCAAATATAGATTCTAATGCGGATGGACCAAATCAAACTCCCGGATTTTGGGAGAACACAAAGCCCAAGGGTTCGTACCTCCTTCAATGCTTGCCGAGGATAACTACGCAGGGCTGATAACGGTGGACGGCGTCGGACGGCGAGGTCGACCAAGCGGGGAATGCTTGTTCGTCGACAAAGAAAAATGAATCGTCTGGCTACGGTGGTGCGTGGCGGCAGTTGTGTCTCTGGCGAAGGGTAGAGAGTTACCACAAAGTCTGAAGGCAAATAATTGATTCTGAACGCAAATCCGAACAGGCACAAAGGCTGTTGGTGATTGATAAGCCAAGTCGGTGCCCCCGCTCGAAAGAACATCATGCCATCAGCTTAATTTTCATGGGGAAACACCCGCGCAAAAGTGCACGCGAGTGAATATTTAAAAAAAATTAAATATAAAATTATAAATCATCCATCATTAATATTAATATTAATTAATGTAGTAATAATAATAATAATAAATATTTGAAAAATCAAATCCAAAGCATCAATCAATTGCCATCAATTATTACTTTAACGTAAAATACACCAATCTCCCTTTTATTTTATTTATAAAGACTTTTGTTCTATTTTTAAAACTTATACAAACCTTTATTAAAATCAAAATTTACATAACACATCTCTCTCCTATTTTAAAGATAGGAAGATGTAACTTATAGCTTCTAGATTTTTTTTCTTAATATTAATCCAGTCTTTAAATTTTATTCATAATAAATCAGTCTTAATAATTTTTTGACTCTAAACAATTTAATTCTTATGATTACTTGATTTAGTATAATCCAATTTTTATAATACTTTAATTTGATTCAATAAACTATAATGATTGAGTTATGTAGAGTCAAAATTCAAAGACTAAATTAATAATTTAGAGAAAGTTTATGGACTAGAAATTATATTGTCCATTTAAAGATTCTATTTCCTTTAATTCAATAGTGATTATTAAATCATATATTTCGAGCCAAATTATCCTTTAACAATTTGGCTAAGGTGAAGCCTAGACTTGAAAGGCATATCAGAATTGAGGAAAGTTGTGCTCGTTTGTAAATAAAATTTGATTCAACTTGACTTTTGAATGGCCTTATTTAGTCGTGCAAGTGTAAATACATTGAAGAGAGAATGGCGTTGTGACAGATTTGGCCTTGACTTCAACGAGGGGGGGACTGGCCTTGACCTCAAAAGACCAGATTTGGTTTTTGTTGGTGCAGCAACATCTGGTGTGCACAGCAAGGAGAGTGGAGGGATAGGTTCTTTTAAGGACAAGCTTCTATCATTGAGTGGATCAGGCTTTCTCATGAAACATACCCCGCCCAAACTCCCTCATTGTCAAACTACTGGATGCTTCGATCTCAAAACGCACTCTGGACTCTGGAGGTTGGAGTCAACCGAATGTGGAAGCCCCTCGATTCACCTCTCTAAATAATGGATGTTATATTAATTCCTTCGTGAATGTTGAGGACAGGGAATATGCTTTGTCCGCCCCTAGCTTATTAACTACCAAAAAAAAAAAAAACAAAATACATTAAGGAAATTATAAAATTACCCTAAAATGCCATGTTCTTTATTCAAATTGTCAATTTGATATATTGAAATTATTAACTACTATCAAATAGTTGTAGTGGAATTGTTACGTTGACAACCATGTGTTAAACTATTGGTAATAAACAACTACCTATGTTAAGATAATTTCATTAATATAGTAATTGACATCTTGAATAAAGAACTCGAACTTTAATGTAACTTCATAATTTTATGATATTTTTTATACTTACACTTCTTATGCGGGACCTAAGAATAATCTCAGTCAAGATGCCTCAAACTCGCATAACCATATTAGCTTTAAACCAAATAAAAGCTTGCCTCATTTTAATTTTTGAAGATTTGATTATGAATTGTTAGTAAGGTAATCGTGAGACATACGCAAGAGTAAATCTGTAACTTTGTTGGCCGAATTAAAAAAAAAAAAAAACTCTAGCAGAGAGAAAGGAACGAAAACCAAAATTATTCAGCTAGAGGCCTTACGATCAGCGTAATACCTTAGCAAGCCTCCTTAGACTAAAATCTACAATTCTGTATCAGCGATAACAAAATAAATTATAAAATCATATTATTCACATTTCATTTCAAACTCTGTAATACACGAGATTGATATATTGCTTTAATATGAACTGGTTGTTAATTTATCCTCAACAAACTCTAGTTGTCATCAGCTTCAACAAACTCGACTTTTGTTTCCATCAGATCAAGCAAAACTCCACTGCAGTCTTTCTTGTACTCCGAGTATTGCCGCATGCGAGCAAGAAAAGTGAGCAGCTAAATTACTTGTTTGGTGACATGAGTTAAATTATTAAATATCGGTGAGAAATTGGGTAAACAGCCCAATCATGATACATGGAATATTTTTTGGGGTTTACAATTGTTTTACATGAAATCTATCAACGCTGTGTTAAAAAGAGAAATTGATCAACTCAGAAAACAAATCAAGGGGCTACCTATTTCATTAAAAATCACCACACTATATTACTGTGCTCAACATGCGGAAAAAAGAAAGGGTGGGTTTTTTTGGGGGGGGGGGGGGGGGGGAAGAAAACCACCTAGAAAATGCCCAACCCTCCAAAGCAGGATCGTTGGATATCAACTATGAATTAGTAAAAACCTAAGAGCACTAGCCTTTTACAGAGTAACAAATTAGAGGCCGGACAGTGTGGTAAATACGGGGATTCAATTCAAAATAGATTTTCTAGAGGTGAAGTTCAGAGATTGAAAGAACCAAGTAGGGACCTACCCAACCTTATATTTCTCTCTGAACTATGCATCAATTTTCTTGAGAAGTATAGAGTATCCATCCCTGTGCTATTTGCCACTTTTCTGGTATATTGCTTTTCATTGTAACCTCACTGATAAAATTAGTTAGAAACAGAAGCTTTATTATCAGCTTCCAAATCCAAATGGAGAATTTGTCCTACTTCCACCTTCTCCGTACATTTCATTCCACTTCCTCAACTCATTCATGCTTGCTGCATCATAGGCCACTGATGGGCCAACCTACACGTTTCATCAGACCAGTTTAAACATTTTGACCAAATGTTATGGCACGAGTCAGAAAACCGAGATTGCATAGGCTGAACCGAGGAATCAGGAAGTGTTTCAAATAAACTTTTCTACTTCGTATAAAATACAACAATTTAAAAAGAAAAGAAAGAAAATTAAAATATATTATATACCTTAGATTTTGCCTGAACAAAATCATCCAATTTTAGAGGCCTTAATGCTGCCGTTGGACCATTATAACCCGCCTGTAGAAACCAAAAAGATGCATTATGCAACCTAGCAAAGTAAACCCAGTACAAATATAGGCGGGCAAGAGATAATCCAACAGAGTTTTGACTCCCCCCATGAAGCAAGGAAAAAATTGCACAACGGATGAAACCAACCAGAGATCATTGTAAACATGAAAGAGCAGCACTTGGCAAGTGATTTTGATTCAACAAAGAAATTTTTTTGCAGCAGAACCAAACAAGTGTCAGATAGTTTATAAGCTCTGTACCTTCTTTTCATTCTCTAGGAGCTCTTGAACAGGTCTATATGCCGCAGCAATGCAAAGGTTCTTCCAAACAAAGTCATGAAGGAGGGTGAGATATATGCCATGCTTACGTTTATCCTTAAAATTGCTATACATAGGAGCTAAGAACAAGGAATATAACAGACACTATTCACCTTCAAATCACTGCCAGAGTATCCCTCAGTCAAGTTGGCAAGTTTCTCAAACCGAAAATCAAGATCAAGATTTTCTTGTGCGAGAAATATTCTTAAGATCTTCATCCGATTTTCAGCATCTGGCAAATCCACATATATCCTGGACAATGCAATGACACAGTAAAACTTAGCCAAATTTCCCTCCCCTTAATTGATCAGAAGCCATAATGTTGAAGCATGATTATAAGAGTAAACTTCTCACTGGCTCTACTAAAATATCAACTTTCATGCAACGACCGGATAATTATAGATTGCTTCATGAGAAGCCCAGAACAAGATTCAGAATATAAACGTGATAATCGGATTAAGACAAGAACAGTAAGGCTTCAATAAATAATTATTACTCTGTAAAAGAAATCTAGTCATTTACCTTCTTGGTAAGCGGCGTATAACAGCATCATCAAGATCGAAAGGCCTGTTTGTTGCACCAAGAATGAGGATTCTTTGGCTCTCTTTGGTCCTCAAACCGTCCCAAGCTGCCATGAACTCATTCCTCATTCTTCTAGTGGCTTCATGCTCAAAAGCACCACCTCGTGCACCAAGCAAACTATCAACCTATAACACAGATTCAGGTCAGAAGCAATTTATAAAGAAACAAAGGAAAATAGCTTGATGACCTCACAATGCAATGACAAATTTTAAGAAAGTAAGCATGGACAAAACTAGTGGATTCAACTGTGCAATTTTTTTTTTTCACACTGATTAACCAAATTAAAATGCACAGCCAGAGTCACAGCAGAGAAGATACATAATTATACTCCTTACTTTTGTTTTTGCCATTGGTTATACTTCTTCCTCTCATTTCAAGCAATCATCTAACTTTTTAAGTTGCATTCTTTTTCTGTGGCATCAATATACAAAAAATGTGTTTTGGTGTATCAGAATATAATACACCTTCTCCATCGTGAAATGCTTGTTTCAAAAGTAAAATTTAAGTTAATGTCTTTTATGATATACACCCACGCACTCACTTCATCAACAAATATAATGACAGGAGAAAGCTTGCTGGCAAAGGAGAAAAGGGCTTTGGTAAGTTTCTCAGCATCTCCAAACCACTGCATCAGCAAAGAATCAACTGTCAGAAACTGCATTCTGGACCCACTTATATGAACAAAATTAACCAAAGAATGTTAAACAACATAATCCTTTCATTAAATAACCATCAAATTTATGATTGTTTGATGGTTGTTTCCATGGCATCAACTAAAATGGAAGAAGTTCCAGGACTTGTATCACCTTTGATGTTAGAGTTGAACCGGTTATGCTGATAAAATTTGCACCTGCTTCCGTTGCGAGTGCCTTGGCCAGAAGAGTTTTCCCAGTGCCAGGAGGACCAAAAAGTAATATTCCTTTGCAAGGCTGACAGAAGCTTCTTCAATATCAGAAAAATGAAGGAAAAGAGCAAGTTATTTGTTTTAATTGAAACTGCATGCATGAAACAAGAATCGCTACCCGTAACAAATTTCCACGAGAGAAAAGCTCAGGCCTTCTCATCGGAAGGATGACAAGTTCATTAAGAGCCTTCTTCACATCTTCAAGAGCACCTATGTCATCAAACTTTACCCCAATTTCACCAGGAGGTACTACAGCTGAAATAAAGTTGCCCTCGTACTCATCCTTTGCAAGGTTCTGTTGCATTTTATGTACAACATAAGAACACATAAAATGAACAATGAATTAACAGAAATTTCAGCAAGTAGCATAAATCACATGCCTTCAGACCCTGAGAGGGCTTCCGTGACATAGTTTCTTGATCCTTCAATCTTGAGATTGCAATTTCAAGACTTCCAACATGGAAAAAGAACAAAACAAATCAGCTCCAAAATTTTGCCAAACATGAGAAATAAGAGGATTTATATTTTACCTTTCACGAGGCAGGCACAATCGTTCTCCTTTAACATAAGGAAGTGGGCAAGATGACAAGTAATTATTTTTTGCCCAGCCCACCACCTTTTCAGCTTCTGAAAGAAAAAGTAAATAATCATCAAAACCATGATGTGTGCAAGCATTGCACTATAAAGAACAGCTATCTTAGAATTTCTCCAGTAAAATCTGTAGAAACTCAAGGTTTAATTTTTCTCTAAACTTATTTTATTTGATAGAAGTGATGTATTATAGATTATAGAAAATAAAAGGGAAATTAGACTTCTACTCCAACTACATAAGATATCGACATCCCAAACATTATGCTCAACACCATATTTACTCTTGATCACAGTATCCCAAAGGGAATCAGGTTCCAGAGCAAAATGCCATCACAACTTGCTCAATAGATCAATGCTCTTGAACACCAAGTTACCAGGAACTAGGCCCTCCATCCTTTTTAGACTTAAAGCAAACTTTTAAAGAATACACATGCTCTCCAAAAAATGTTACGTCTCATGTGGTATGAACTCTGGAAGAGGATGATGCAAAACAAGTTATTTTAAACAACAATGTAAAACAACAAGTGGCTTCTAGCACTTCAAGAGATCCTTTACACATTCCAAGTAGTTCAGTCACCAAAGCAAGAGCTAAAAGAATCAAGGAGGCTTTGATTGGACTTGTGTGAGAAACTTTGGCAAAGCAAATGGCAATTGGATTAACAAATCTGGACAAAAATGCCAAGGGTGTCATTGAATTAACTGTTATTTTTCTTGCCTAGCATTAATTATTTTGAGTCTCTAGGTTCACGTTTCCTAGGCAATTAAGTTTGAATCTATCTCAAAAAATATATTGCACACTTCATTTGGTAATCAGATTTCAAGTTATGGAACTTCACTCGAGAGTGGATTTTCTCCGGGGTTCTTCCTTGAACTAACAGACTCATTAAGACTTGATCAACCTTGTAGCATCTTCAAACACTTTGGGTCCTTGTTCTTCTGTGTTCAAGAGTTCAAGTGGATCATTAGATCTTGGTTCAGCTTTTTTAGGGTGTGTATATTTAGATTTGTTATGAGTTCATGGGATATATTCCTAGTGGGTTCATGCCAAATTCCAATTCCATGGCATGAAAATTGAGATATGCAATCAGACTCATGCTATCATGACTTCATAGTAGTTGTCTCTCGTAGTTTATTTGACACAACCTTTGGGTTAGTTTTGACTCGAGCCATTTTCTGGCAGATTTTGTATGGGATAGGCAGCGAACATTGCAGCCCACCTGCACAAGACTTAGATGGCTCCATCTAACATACATCAAGTGAAAACAAGCCTTGCAGTTTCACACATATCAATTTAGTATATAACCTTATATATGTATTCTTCCTGCAATTTGAGCCCACCATTTTTTGAGTTACCACAAAATTTGGTCCTTATAATTTGATTTTGCATTCTCATGGGTACTTAAGTGGGATGAAAAACCCTACCTCAAAAGCTAAGAAGCAATCTACTTAGATAACCCATTAAGCATCCGATATTACCAAGTCTCCATCACATTCCACCTCTCACAAGAAGTCAAAACATCCACCTCATTCAGTATGTTAAGATTATGTCCATGTGAGAAGGAAATAAATAGAAGGTACACGTACAAGAATAAAAGAAGAAAGGATTATGGCATATAAGATAGTTGGAATAACTTGTAAAATCTGACTGCATTCATACTTTGCTTTGTCAGAATGACACTGTCAGTATTTACTTGCAAGAGGTCCAAGCATGATAGCTCATGTTCTTCAAGAACCTGCAACATGAAAATCCAATTAATGATGTAAAATTCATAACGTGGAACCATACCTGAAAGGCCAAACATATTGTCGCTCATTACTAAGTTAGTGAAAATGCTGCAAAAATAAATTTTTTACCTTATGTAGTTCATTCAAACTACTACGGAAATCACAATTTTCCTGTCTTCCTCAAGTTGTTTTTTAAAAGTTCCAAGTTGATCTTCCTCCTGCCAAGTGTCATACAATGTCATATGTAACCACAACATAGATGATCAGGACTGAAACACCAATATCTGGAGAAAACACTTCCCAAATAATAATAATGACAAGAAGATGGATAGAATAAAAAGGTAAAGAAAATGAAGAAAAGAAAAATAAAGGCTGGAAAAGGAACTAGAATCTGAAGAAATACCATAAAAATGAGAAAGGACTCAATACAATGGTGAGCATGTCGTTTATCAAAGACAGTTTTTTTAATCATCACGAAGCAAACTATAATAATAAAAAAACCATAAATTTTTTGTCATAATTAATTGATATGAAAACTTGCCTTTGGCGGATGCATGCACAAAACATTGGTGAAAAGCTTGTGGATTTCATTATCATCCAATCTCTTTGTTGCTCCAAGTCCCTCAGTCAAGTGTTTCAGAGAAAGAGGCTGCAAAATATTACAAAAATGAATTCATAATCCATTATAGAGGTGAAATTACAGTGACAAAAGTGCAACAAACCCTGCCCTGTTGCCAGTTTATCGACCATTGGGTTCTTGATGAAATATAAGAATGATATATTTTGAAGAAACCTAGGCCAGTATATTATTATTATTATTATTATTATTATTATTATTATTTTAGAAAAAAAAATAGGCTTTCTTGTGTTATTTTAATATGTTGTTTCCTTTGTGTTATTTTAATATTTTGTAAAAGGAAATATAAAAAGTGGCTTTATATGGATGAGTGATCAAGGGCTCATTTGGATTTCAATTGGGTATAATTGATCATGAAAATAATTGTTAATTTGATTATTTTAATTATAATTGATTATGTTGTAACGCAATCTATTAAAATACTGTTTTTTTAAAATTGATTTTAGCTGTACTAATTAACATAAAAGGCATTTTTTTAAAAATTAAATTACTGATAAAGTTGTATTTGATATAATTAAATTTGTTAAACTTTATTTAAGAAGTAAAATATATTATTTAATGATAAAATTGAATCTATAAGCAACCTCCTACAGCTTATTTCAAAATGTGATTTTGACTCAATAATCAATTATTAAATTTTTTGACTGTTTGGTTAATTTTGGTTAAAATCGATTATATGTTGAATCCAAACATACTGTAAGGTTTCCTTAATAGGCAGGCAACTTTAGTTTAAATAGAGTAGGCTTTACTCTTATAAGAGAACACATGATGAATGAAGTATTTTGATTTAGTACTCAGACAGCTTCCCCCTCTCCCTTTCGTCTGTCTCTCCCTTTCCTCTTTCTCTGTCTGCTCTCTCCCTTCTTTGTTTCTGCCTCTAATCTCTCCCTCTCTATGTCTCTATTTCTCCCTACTCTCTCCCTTTTTTTCAGATCTATGCAGGTGTGTGTGAGTGTGTCTTACATCAGTTCTGTATTCAGAATCTAGATTAGTTTCTTTATAATACATGAAAAAATCCGGATTCAATTTATAACTGCCAACAGGTAGGGTACAGCTGCTGTTGGGCGCCATAAATTGGCCAAGTAATTTAAATTGAAAAGAAAAGAAAAACCAATCAGTAACATTTGAAATCACAATGTATGGCCGTCAAAAAAAAAAAATCTTACGCTAACTAACTGAAAAAGCTCTACACAACTACGAGAATAAGACAAGAAAAGCCAGAGATCAATAAAACAGAAAATAGTCATAAAAATGGTGACTTAAAAGGAATGACCTTAATCTGATTTGAAGGACTTCAAATTAAGGCAGAAAAAAGGTTTCTTTATAAAATGAATCATATATATATATATATATATATCATGGTTCCAATAACACTTACATTTCTGCAAATAGAAGAAGACTAGCAAAGATGCCAGAACAAAACGTAAAAAAATTTGGATGATGGAAATTCAAATACAATGGACGATAAAGTCAATTCTATAACAAAAGAAAACCATTTTCATTTCAAAGAAAGTCAAACACTTATCATGTGAATTCTTGAAAAGCCCAAGAAATCTAAAACTTCATCAACAGTCCAGCAATTTTTGCAGACAGCAGTATTCGACATGTGTCTAATTTCTTTGAGGATAGCAGAAATGGGGTTCACTTATTTTCACAATGACAAGTGAAACGATCTAATGAAAGCTTTCTTTCCAGAAATTCATTTCGTATGCTTGATTGAAAACTCAGCAATTTAAATTCAAATAACAAAGCAGCTTGCCATATCTGGAATAGATCTTACTAATTTTATGAATGGTTAGATCTGCTCAATAATTTTAAGGGGGTCAGTTATTAATAGATTTTACAGTATTTACAAGGACAACCAAGTTTTCTTGAAACATGCAATGTATATAAGACTGTTCACTGGTATCTAAGCAAGAATATTATTTTGATAGCAGCATATTTTCAGCCCATGGGCAGAACAATAAAGTATTACAGGTAATGCATAAACTTGTAGAGTGAAAGCAAGAATTACCAGCTTACCAACGCGTCCAAAGTTTGGAAGTATCATTGTCTGTCAAGCATCACATGTGGTCGGACAACAGTCAAAATATGGTTACTACTTGCTATATGGTGATGAAATTCAAATCACGATCACACAGATAACAAGAAAATATAACCAAAATAGCTAATGGTGCTTACAAATTGCTTTTTCTCTTTTGACCCAGATTGAATTTTGTTTTGTCCACAAATCAACACAACTGGACCGGACAACTTGTCAAACATTTCTTGAACCTTATGAAAGAACTCTTTTCTGTTAGACTTCAGGACTGAATTATGAAACCACTGTGTACTGTCTGGGAAATAGACAACAAGAGGTTGTTTGGAATCCAAAACCTGCAGAAGTCATGATTCATTGTTCTAGCTATGATGTATCTTACTTTGAGATCCAATAAAAGGAAAAGAATGGCATTTCAGCATTATACCTCACATAGAGCCTCCATAACAATGTAGCAATCCTGTACATGAGCATCAGGGTCATGCTCAATGTCCTTAACTGCAAGTAAATAGGAAAAAAGCATAGGTTTCTTATCATGAGAAGAACAAAAATGCACACCCCTATTCACATACTTGCATCGAATCTTGCACCTTAACAACATTATGATTATATCAGAAGCTTTTTGTTTCAAGTCCTACCATAGAAACTACTTTACCTACAGGAGGAAGCATATTATTTCAACATCTCTCTGTCATAACATAGTACAATTTTCTTTTCTTTTGAAGGCAGCATTTAATTAATAAAGAGATTTATGAGAGAAAAAGCAATAGAAGAGCACATATAAATATACATATATAGTATGTTTCTGGAAACATAGGTTCAAACTGATAAACTAAAAAAAATTCTTCAAACAAAATCAACTAACCATTGAAATTCTAAAGACTGAGATTAAGACTTTAAAAGATTGAGTAATTCTATTCTAATCAAGGTTTTAAAAACCAAACCAGTCCTTGAATTGGCTAAGGTACTAGTTTAAGGGTCAATGGTCGAACTGTGGTTGAACCAAATGTGATTAATTTACTATATTTTTTATTTTATATGAATATTACATTAAAAGAAACATTTTATAAAATTTTATTTCACAAGATTAAATTTATAAGATGAAATTAATCATATGTCTTCAAAATGACTCTAAATTTCTTTAATATTCAAGAACACATATTTGTTTATAAAGAAACTGACATCTTATTAATTATTTTTAGAAGGCTAATCAAAACTAAATTAAAAAGTTTAAACAAAAATAGATAAAAAATTAGAAGTATAAAGATAATATATTTATGTTTACATTAAGAAAAGATGTTAAGATTTTTGAAAAACGAATAATCAAATATCAAATAAAAAATATATGACAAAAACAAAAACAAAAAATAAGAAAGAAAATTGGAGAAGAAGTGCAATTTTGAGGTCCCACATCGTGTAAATGGCAGAAGTTGATAAGCATAGCTTTTCTATAAAAGGGGTGGGGGAGCACTATTTAATTTCACAGCAGCAGCAGGCGCTGAGTTGTGATTTGTTTAAATCACAACTCTTGGCCCAAAGCCACAAAGCTGTAATTTTTGTCTGTTTTTTTTTTCATTTTTTATTTGATCCGGTTTAGACATAAAACTGGATCGCTTTTATTGGTCTATTCAGTTCTTGACCGGTTTGTCCAGCCTCTGACCGGTTCTATACTTGTCCGGTTTTGGTCATATACCAAATCAGACTGAGGACCAGCTCTTGTTCGAACTAGTTGAACTGACCGGTTCGGTTTTTAAGACTTTGGTTCTAATAATTTGAGTAAGAAAAATGTACCATGTATCCAACAAAGTCGAGATTCTGTATGTTCATTAGATTTCTCCACCTCAACCTCCTTTGCATTATCTTCGCTAATGTCCATGATGACAGCAACTTGATCCCCCTCCACCTCATATACCTCTCCTCGTTGACCATTGGAGAGAGATCTGCAAAAGTTTCAGAATTTGTTAAAATAAAATCTCAAAATTTTCATATATGAGCTATAAATTCTTCAAAGACATGTTTCCAATGGTATATAACCACAAACTCCGTTGCATATATCCATAAAAACAATTTTATAGGATAACACTAAGTTAATCCAAACCACACAGCTTTAGGAAAAGTAACAATTATCATTTTACCTAAGCTCCAGCAAGCACATTAATGACTAGTACAGTATAATATAAAATACATGCAAACAAGATATCTCAGACAACTGCCCATGCAACAAATCAGATCCATTACATAAATATCGCAAGAAAAGAAAAATTAATTGGTATGCAACATTTCATTTGGGTAATACTCAGTCATTAAGGTTCCAAGGAAAATAAAAGTGCCGGAGGCCCAATCTACTGATCCTCCCAAAAATTAAGCCTAGAATTATCCCAAACTTGAGAAGTAATCAAAGGACTAAAGAAGAGATATATCAGAGAAAAGCACTTCAAAAGGCTTGCATAAGTAGCACTGCCTCCAATCTTAACAACCCTATCCTTTTTCATGAACACCATAGTTGCTGCATGTTCGGAATCCTTATAGGGCACAATAAACTAGGTTTCAAAGGAAATTGCCAAAGCAATCTGGCCCAACCATTAATTGTCTACTGTCTCTCCCCCAATTTAAGGAACTTTAAATGACTAAATATTGTAATATTTTAATGAAGTTTTTTTAAATATTGTATTAAAATTATAACATTTATAGAAAAATAAACATAAATTATATTTATTAATTTATCTCTTATTATATTAAATCCCTATTTTACTAAGTTTTTTTACACGCATGTTTGAATGAAATATTATTTTAGCCAACTTATTTATTTAATTTTTTTAAATACTTTTTGCCAACAAAACTATATGAATAAAAAATAATAAATAAATAATTTTGCATAACCAACAAAATTTAAATATGAATAAAAAAGTGAAAAACATATTTATTAAATTTTGTTGGTAACTTAAAATGATTTTTAGATAATATTTAAATTTAAAGAGGAGTATTTTTGTCCAATATGTGTAACTTAACAATCAACTACCAGTTGAAAGGATGAAAATTAAATTTTGAAAGTAGAAGGGAGGTTTGTGTTTAATAACTATTAATTTTAAGGGAGGTTCATATAAGTTTTAAAAATAGAGAGGACGTATCTGAGGTAGTATAGAGGGGAGCTCAATGTATTTTATTCTTTTTTTTTTAATTGAAATGACAGCAACAAGTCCTTCTCCATGAACTAATTTTATTTCTTTTTTCATGTAATTGAGTAACAAATTTCTCCATAGCTTTGTAACAACAACTAAATGACAATTTTTCTTAAATTCGATGATTTTAACTAAGAAAATTGAAAATTATTCTCACATGGATATTGGCTACAAAAAGTAAAAAATGGTGGATTATAGAGATATGCCCATTCCATTCAAAATCAACATAGAACAGGGACAGAAGTAGTTTTTAGCAATTGACTTAGGAGCGACAATACAAGACCCTGCCTATGGATATTGGATCATGGGTTGCACATGGGTTAGAGAAGTTGACTTCAATTTGTAGGTAGCAAAGTCAAAAAAGCAGTTCCAAGATAATGGCCCAAGGTGAGGGGCATTTATCCAATTGTTTTCTACACATAGGGATGACTTACCAACCCACCTTCCATGGATATTAGTGTAAGCATTAGTTGGACCATCAGATGTCAGTATCTTCCCCAGTATGATCCTGTTATAAATTATATTGCCAATGTCAGGTGAGTGCTCAGTCCAGTGGGATAATCATAAAAAGGGTTTACATGAAAGAGCAAGGATGGCTTTCCCAGAACCACTCCTGCAGACCTCAAAATACGTGAGAATCAACTGGATAGAATATCTCATCACCACTTTCTTCCAATCAATGAACTTTATTTTCAAAACAAAGGTTCTAGAATCATTTCCATTTTTCTGGACAGAGCCCACCCATCAGCATCACTTACATTCTACGTCAAGATACAAAGAATTATAATGAGGCCCTAACACGGCATCAAGCAAAAAAAAAAAAAGTAAGCTTAAGATCACATGATCAATGCCTTAAGCTCCCTCCTAAGAACTGTAATGAACCCCCCCTGAAATAAAAATTCAAACAGCCACATGTACTGGTCACAATTTCTTCATCTGTTCCCTACATCCCATGACACTTTATTCCTCTCTTATATGCCTTGATAACTCACATCCCATCAGATAAGAATCAGCTTTTGGACTCTATGTTGCTTGCTGTTCAAAACTGTTTTGAATGAACCTCTGCTTCAGAAACGCCAAGAAATTGGACAGCATTGCTGCATTTTAAGCTCTCTTACTTCTCATTATTCTTTTTGTTTTAGAATAATCATGAACTTCATTAGTTTTTTCATTCCAATTTCCTCAGATAATTTCTTCTCTAATCATGTAAAAAATTGGATGAATAACACACTTTTTTCCTGTCAGATTCATTAAGTTTCTCTCGATATCATCATATTTATAACCAGTTGCTTAAATTTAGGAACCATATGATGTGAACAATACAGGCACTCAGCTTAACCCAGCTTTTGTAGTACAGGTCAGTATGTCATTGTACACTAACATAATAGGAGCTTCATACCTTAAACAACATCATATCCAACTTTCATATTAGCCTTGTAATGTATAAGAACAAAGCAAAACATCTTTTAAGCTGTATGATGCGATGTGATGTATCATTAAATTTGACAACAATGAAAGAAGGGGAAATCATATGATCCAGGATGAAACACCACATTCTCACAACATGGAAGCATTGTGGGCACATCTATACATGCTTTTAAACAATTTAATTACAAGGAAAAAGAAAATTTAGTGTATTGTACAGTTAAGCAGATAATTTCTAGCACAAGATTACCGAAGCTCTCTACAGCAAACTTAGGTCCTGTTTGGTTATTAGAAAGAATGGGAATGGAATGCATTAAAAAAAATCAAAACAAAAATAAATTAAATCACCCTTCCCCCTTATGGCAAGCATGATAAAACTCAATACTATATACCATAAATGTAAGAATCATCACACCTGCCAAAAATGTCATAAATCATGACTACCAACCCTATGAACTAAATTACCTTTCTCCTTTATGAATATGGTTCACCTATCCCCCTCCATATTTTACTCATCTTATTTTTCCCTTTATTTTTTCAATCCATTCCATTCCATTCTTTGCTAACAACCAAATGGGACCTTAGTGTTGTTTTCTTTCACACAGAAGTACAACAGCAAGCAGATAACAAGAGTAGTATGAAGCTTAGACTCAATGCATCAAAGTTCAAAGTAACGTGTGATGAACACAAGTTATGGAAAAAAATAGAGAACAGAGAAACACAGTATTACCTATTGTTGACTTTCATTTGAACAGATGGCCCAATGTATTTCACACGGTCACCTAAGGATTTTAAAAACACGTTAGCTTATATAGTGGGCAAAAATTTTAATACTGATTGATTATCAATAAATAATGACCAATATAATAAAAAAACCAATGCAGACAGACAGACACATATATAGGGAGGGAGGGAGAAGACATGAATTATCAAATTTAGCATCATGTCACATAACTCAACCCAACATCACATGCATAGCCAACAACAATGTCATTATTTTCCACTACAGAAAACAATAGAGAACTGCAATACATGTCAAGTACCGGACCATATTAATCTACTTATATGTGCATAAAGTAGAGTTCCATATAAGAAAGTTTCCAGCTAAACAAATAGTTAACCTTTCTTTAATTGGCATCCAGATTGGTCAGAAGGCTTCACAACCTCAGATTTGGTTGACTCAGAATTTTCTGACTCTTCAGATGACCTCTGGTCAAAAATAGGGAACAAATGACATCAAAAGATCAGTAGTAACAAAATGAGTTCAAAAGTTGACTCAAAGGTTACACTTAACTATTAGTGTAACTTTAAAATTCTTCAAGAAACATTTACACGAGCTTCACTCATGATAATTCCCGCCAGGCATATTATAGCATAACACTTGACTCAAATTCAGCTAAGCCTATCATCAATCAGTTGCCATAAATAATAAATCATCTTTAATCCTTCTATTCATATCTATAAAAGTAAAAGCATAAAAATGCAGACAGACTCGCAATTCTATTCTATGCTATAGCTTTTCCCTCCCCTTCAACAGCCCATGATGCGCACTGTAGAAAAATTAGTTTCATTCATAAGCATGACACCAAACTTTTTACTATTCATTACAGATAATAAGTTAATGTAAAAATAATTTGCCCCTCCTAGGAATGCTTGAGTTAAACAGATAACAGATACAAGTCTTTTCTAGAACCCTGAAAGATCTAAACAAGATGCTTTTGCATGAATTTTCTGCAGATATTTATCAATTTCCACTTTCTTCCTAAAAATTTTAATATCGCTTCATAGAATTGGATATCTAAGTTCTGGTTTTCAACCGTTAAGGCCTTGGACACCTGATACATCGGCATGTACTAGTCTATAACCCACTCTTACTCGCAACATAATATTTAAGAGTAAAAATGCAAATTTAGCCATGAACTATTTTTTGAGGAACACTGGATAGCTTATACTATCAAGTGGATCAAAATAAATCATCAATTAATTAAACAGAGCATCTAGTACCTACCATTAAGTTTGAGCAAATGACGTTAATTTCTCCTTCTCTCTCTAACCCTCACTTCGACAGATTGCAAATTCCAGGAAGCTTGCACACTGATCCCAAAACAGCACCATGGAATTTGTTGTGAGCTAAGTTCAAAGTACTAAATCTTATCCAAGCGAGGGAAAGAGATTATAGGATTGGACCCATCGATGCGCTATTGCTCACATCTAAGACTGTGGCCCCTTTTAGGAACCCAATCTTGTTAGGTAAGCAACCAAACTGGTTTCCCAAGAACAGAACTTCCATCAAGGTGTTTTGATGCATTTTCGATGCTTTTTGGGATCAGTCCGGTGAACTTACTTTTGGCCAATGTGGGGTATCTCACAGGTGTATGGTTGAAATTCCATGGAAGGTTTCCGCTGAATTGGTTGTTGATGATGATGACGATGTCAAGATCCATGGTGAAAAGCCTTGGAGGGATGAGTCCAGTGAGAGTATTGAACCAAAGATCTAAGAAAAGTAGTTTAGTAATAGAAAGAACTTCCATTGGAAAACAACCCTGGAGCTTGTTGTTGCTAAAGTTGAGCTCAAAGAAATATTTGCATTCCATGATTTTTGTGGGGACTTATCTTGAGAAATTGTTGGAGTTGACATGGAAGAATCTTGATTCTGGAATGGAGACCAAGATTCCTGAAAGATGCAAGCTTGAACCTTGAAGACTAGAGAAACTAGTTTGGTTGAAATATAATATTGAAACAGCTGTGTAATTATTTGGATCTGGAAAGCATTTAACACCATTGTAGGTGCAAGGACTTGTGTCCTTCTTCCAGGTGCTGGTATAGCAATTAGGGTCGTCAATGGTGGCAATGAAATTCAGAAGCACACGGCAAGCTTTCATATGCAGGGGGGATAGGCAGTTGGCAAGAGGAGACTCCTCAAAAGGGGAAAGAGCTCCTCTGCCGCCGATAATGATCTCCAATGTGTTACTTTCTTGGAAGCAATGCCTTGGTGTGGAGAGGAAGAGATCAATGAGAGAGTTAGAGAGAGAAGATCTAGAGAGAGGGAGAAATCAATGTCGTTTGCTCAAGCTCAATGATAGGTGATAGATGCTCTATTTTAACTAGTTGATGATTTATTTTGTACCATTTAAAAGTATAGGCTACCCAATGCTCCTCGAAAAATAATTTATGACTAAATTTGCATCTTTACCCTAATATTTAATTTAAACTCCCAAGATGCAGGTCGTTTCTATAAGTAGCATCCCACTAACATTTAATTTAAAGTAGGAGCAAGCTAGTCTCTGGCCAATAACCATATTAAAAAGTTCAACTTTCTCTCTCCAGTAAAAGATAACGTTCAGAGCAAACCCCAGAATTTCCTCCTAAACAGCAGCCTTCACACTAAACAGTCCTAAAATCTAAAAGAAAGGTAAATTTTCAATTCAAGCCTCTCAGGCCTGAGACATGCCCATGTTGGAAAACTATCCAATTCAGAAAACTCTAGATCATTGTCAATAAATGATTATGTATCTGCTCTGTTATAAAATATCTATATATCCAATCAAAGGAAACCTAAATGAAAGATACTTCAACACTCGCATCAGAATAGTTATATTCTTGGGGCTAACTGCTAAGACAAAGCTCCCACAATTATCAGATACTTCATTAATTACTTTATCATCATGAAATGGCTGAATAATCATATCCTGATACCTTCAACTTCAAGAAGTTAACCATTGAGACACCTTTAAGAAAGCAACACTAGCATTAGAAGAGTTACATTCTAAGGCCTAAGATGAGGCTTTCACAGTTACTAGATTGTTCATTAATTCATCCCATCTCAGCCAAATATCTGAATAATACTATTATGTTACCCTTAAGAAGTTAACCATATAGACACCTTTTCAAAGTCTTCAATGTTGTAGGGAACTAGTTTCTGAACAGCTGCTTTCACCTTCTTTAGGGCTGCTTCAGCAGTTGCTATCGCATCATGTTCTTCATTATCACTAGCATCTGACTTTGCCTCAGTGCTGCTAGTCCACTCCTCTTCATTGCTAGCATCATTATCATCTTCATCCTCTGACTCCAGAGAAGCCTCCTCACCAGATTCTGCATTATCATCATCAGACTCACATTCTGATGATGATAAATCATCATCAATATACTGCATGACAAGAGGAAAAACAATATTAGTACCTTGCCCTTCTGGCCCCAAAAGTATTAAACCACTGATTAAATTGCAATTTAACTTCGTCCAGGACATACATAAGGAGCAAGGATATTGCTATCGAGAACCAGCAAAGGAACTTTTAGATCTTGTGCAAGTGCTCTAACTAATCTCTCTCGATAGAGCTCACTACCTGCAGAGAGAAAGACAGCATGAACATTCAAAAGAAAAATTATGAATCTGACTTAAGAAGGCCGGATGCCAGATAAGCATTGAAATGGGATGTGATTTATGTAAATAAATATAATAATGACTAAATGAACAAAAAAGATAGCATACCAGGAACGCTCTGGAGCAATATTCTCCCACTAGAAGACGAGAGACGGGCACCATAAGAAGAAGCAACCTTATTATGTCTCAAATGGGAAGCAGCACATTCCACCAGAAGATTTTTGGTATTCTCTCTACGAATGGAAAGGTAAATCACAATCTACATTTGAAACTCAAATAAGAGTAGACATTAAAACATACAAGAATGAAAAAGGAATAGAAAGTAATTACTGAATATAGTAAGGAAATGTGTCCCATGAAATGTTTATTTTCTCCCAAGGAACAACCCTTCTCAGGAACTCGTTTTTGAGCTTATCCTTTCTGGTCAAAAAGGGTGATTCTCTTTTTTTATTTTCAATGGAAATCTTCTCATTCTTGAGCCACTCCTCTTGATCCTGCTCCCCAAGTCGAGCATGAGAATTACAGAGTTTGGCATCTTCGCCAAACTTATCTTGGCAGTTCTTTTCCTTATCACAGTGAGCTCCATCATGTGCATTTACATGTTTATCCTCACTTGCATTCCTTCCATCACTTTCTGAACTGTAGATGCGTAACTGAGTACTTCTCAAATATAAATTAGGCCTTCTATTCAGATCAATACAATTATTATTAGATGATGCGACCCTGGACAAAAAAGATCCCAACAGACATCTCCTTATTATGCTATCATGTGAAACACATTCTTCCACGGTAGTCTTAGTGCACTGGGATTGAAAGCATGCATGACCATAGCATCTCGGCCTAATAGAATATTTGGATGGCTGAAACGAAATGCCCCACCTCCAATCTCGACATTGTATTCTCCTAAAGTACATTGAAATTACAGTTTTTCCCCTACTCTTCTATTGCTGCAGAGAGAAAACCCTTTCATCAGATTATATGAATGCAAAACCATTTATAGTTAACGTAACTACATTACTCAATAACTTTAAGGTTCAGACTGCAACCAATAGTGACAATAAGCAACATTAAATTCATTCAAATAGATTGCCCCTAAAAATAGAACTCAAGGGAAATCATATCTTTGTGAGACTCCTAATGAATTGAAGTTTATCAATAAATTTGAAGTTTATCAATATCTGGCGTCTGAGTTTATTGTTTCCTTAAGTCTTGAGTTTATTATTTTAGAATCCTAGCATCTAGAGTTTGAGATATCTTGTATAACAGGATTCCTTGTGTGCGCCAGCCTCCTCATTCACTGTATTTCTGCTCTCAACTTCAATTCACAAGAACCATCAGATGTACTGATATAGTTTACTATTTCAACAGAAATAAATACAACTGATTAATTCAGAAGTATCCTTCAAGAACAAGGTATGACAACGAATGAGAAAAATAAATTAAATGATGCTGGATGAGACAGGTATCAGATGATTTCCCCGTTTTTTTTTTTTAATAATTGTAGGTAAAATTCTGTAGAGAGATTTTCTGAAGACACACTGAAGTCCGAAACCCATGTATGGCTGATCGGCCTCATGTCATTCCTGATTACATTATTATAATCAAGTCACCTGACCACCATTATGCTAATTAATTAATATATATATATATATATATATCACTACCTTCATATACAGCTGGCCTAAATAGCAATACAAGAGACCGGACAAGATTTATTCAAATACTGACACCATAACTGAATATTATGCTTATACATATATGATGACACTTTCGTAATTAAAATAAACCGTACACAAAAAAGCCATATCAAAAACTGGTCAACTGGAAAGGAGAGACGAGGACCTAACGAAGGTCATCCTAGAATTGCCAGCAAGCATGGTCACTTATTTACGCTTCATATCAAAAGAGACACATTCATCAAGCATCATTATGCAACCACTAGAACATGTGTATCGAAAGGTCGCGTCTTGAAATTTACGAGACAGAAAACAAACACAAGAAGATCCACCTGAACACTAGTCCACGAGATAATGAACAGAAACCCGAAGATAACATAAAGCCACAACAGATCCAAAAAAGATTCTTTTTTTGCCGATTCAATTCAATTATTTGAAGAATCACCAAAAGTCCAGATTGTGAGTTTTTTCCTTGTCAGTTTCATCCAATTACATGTAGAATCATTGGCTCAAATGCAAGATATAGAAGCAAATGATGATAGCGGGAGAAAGCACACCGTTTGGAAGTAAATTGCGTGAGTGCAATCCTAGGCGTTAGCCTGGGGCCATAAAAGAATGTGTGGAAGGAGCGTTCGGAAGGAGAGAAGGATACCGGTGTTGTGAGAGGCGAGGTGAAGTTAGCAACTCAGATTGTGCGGAACAACATGAACATTGGGCAATCGACACCTCCGGAACCAGTACTTGTCCTCGGACCTCGCCTCCGTAGGTTTACTGTACTTGTGTTTCCTGGTTTTATAGCTTAGGCCCATCCCAGGACCGGTCCACCCACGGCCCAAACTGCACCCACTGAGTTTTAATAAGATAATGCAAACATTAATTACTCTTGGAAGACCTTTCTCTTTTTTTTTTTTTTTTGGGTATGGCTATGAGTAGACCTTTTTCTTTTATATGGATGGAAAAATTCATTATCTGATAAAGAAAGTCCTTTTTTTGTGCTACAAGGAATTCCTGTGTATCATTTTCAACAAATTTCATCCGAAATTAAAAATAAATTTTAAAATTTATAAAGTTATTAAATTTATCCTTATTAAAAATATATATTTTCTCTTACTAATATTTAATAAAAGGTAAAAAAAGCTATGATAAAAATTTAATTATGTGGTAGGATTAAAAAAAATCTTCTCTTCTATTATATAAATAGAATCAGAGGAATATTCTCTGAAAAAGTAATTCTTCTTTCTTTCAAAAATAATTTTAATTCATCGTAGATTCAGCCAACCTTTCTGTTTGGTGTAACATTTAAACAAAAACAAATAAAATGTCAATTTGAAAACTAAAAGTATATTTTTAAAGCGCATCTCATCTGATCTTTTCAACCGCACTAATTTCTTATCTCGGTGTTATGTTGTCTATCCAAAATTAATTTCTTTTAGTTTTGAAGAATCGTTATCCAGTGACGCAAGCTCAAGAGACAATAAATAATGACTTGAATGCATGCAGCAGAAAGACGGATCAAAATGATGGGGAAAAAACACGCATGAACATGTGGCTTACGAAATGCGAATCCTTACTGAATATAAAGCCAAGATGACATGCACGTTTCCCATTACAGAGAAGAGGCGTCAATTAATACAATCTTGCTTATTATGAATAACGAACTGTACGTACGCAGCATTAGAAAAGGCGAGGTGGTAAGCTAAGGCTGGAGGAAGCTCTTATTCTGAAAGCACGTTATGCGAAGGTGGGGCGGATGTTAAAGTGTATTTTCTACGTCATCTCAACAACTTGCGACGCACGCTTCTTCCTGGCCTCCGCAGCCTCAACATCGTCATACAAGGAACTCGCATACTTGGAAACGGAGCTGTCAAGCTTGTCACCCTGGCCCCATATAGCATACGCTTCTTCCCCGTGAGCAGCCTCATCCCCTATCTCCATATCCTCCTCCGACATCCTTAAAGGCATCAACAGTCGAATGAGCAGACATATCAAGCTGGTGGAGATGACATTGAGCAGCGTGACGTACAAGATGCCCAGGAGTTGGACCCCGACCTGTCGGAACCCGGTTCTGGAGTCGTTCATTTGGAGACCGTAGAAGAGGCCCACGTATTCGTTGTAGGCGCCGTAGAACAGAAAGCTGAGCTTAGGCTCGGCGAAGAGGCCCGACAGGATTCCTCCGAGAGACCCGGCGATGGCGTGAGTGTGAAACACGGCCATAGTGTCGTCCACCTTCTGGAGCAGCTTGGATCTCTTGTGGACCACCATCATGGTCACCCAGGGAATGGAGCCGGAGCATATGCCCATGAGGATGGCAGCCCATCCCTGCACAACACCTGGAGAAGAAGCGAATGAGGATGGAAGGAAGGAAAGAAGGAAGAGGTTCGAATTCGATGATGTCTTAAGATATTACCTGCGGCAGGGGTGATGCAAACGAGGCCGGTGATCATGCCTTGAACCGCACCGATGACGGAAGGCTTGCGGAAGAAGATGACGTCGAGCACGACCCAGGTGAGGAGGCTGGTGGCAGTGCAGGCGTGGGTGTTCAACACGGCCAAGGAGGCGTCCATGCTCACCGAGTAAGGGTCTCCTCCGTTGAAGCCGGTCCAGCCCATCCACAGCAGTCCCGCTCCTGCCAGCATCAGCAGTATGTTGTTGGGAGGAAACCTTTCTCGGTCCTTGTTTAGCCTCGGGCCCACCTGCACGTACGGCACCGAGTCATCATTATTATTAATTTATTTCCAGCCAGCCAGCCAGCCAGCCAAGCTGTTTTGTTTATTAATCTGGTTCTCGGGGTGGGGAGGGTGTGCTTCATTACCCAATATGCTGCGGTGAATCCCGCGACCCCGGAGGAGAGATGGATGACGTATCCTCCGGAGTAGTCTATCAAGCCCATCTTGGACAGAAACCCATTGGGACTCCAGATGCTAAAAGCTGTGAAGGTGTAGGAGAAGGTGAGCCAGAGAGGCACGAACAGCATCCATGCGTAGAAATTCATGCGGCCCAACAGGGCCCCCGCGATCAAGATCAAAGTGATGCACGCAAATACACCCTGGAAATACATCATCGTGGCGTTTGGGAACAGTCCCAAAAAAGCCGGCTTGAAGAGGTAATTCTCGTCCACCGACAGGGCAGGCTTTCCCCAGAACGGAACGAGCTTGTCCCCGAATGACAGCCTGTAACCCCATGTCACCCAACACACGAAAACACACGCAAACGCATAGAGCGACATGAATGCTGAATTCACTGCCCATTTCTTCTTCACCGCTCCTCCGTATAAGATTATGAGGCCCGGCACGCTTTGCATCCCCACCAGTGTTGCGGCTGTCAGCTGCCATGCATTGTCTGCTTTGTTCATCCAGTCGGGGCTTGCTGGGGAGGATGCCAGGTTTGACGGAAGTGCCATTCTTACTTGTTCTTTTTAATCCCCCTCGATCCGCCTACTATTAAGCCTGGTGCTACAAAAGAATGTGATTCATTAGTGCAGGAAATGGTTCATGAGAACTGGGGTTTTATATGTAGGACTCCACTTTTGATTCTCACGCCTTGCTGTTCTCCAATCCCCGTCTTGCTTTGTCTTAGGCCACTTCGCTGCTAATATTATTGTTTACATGCTGACGGGTATTCCAAGCATGTCTCTTAACGGTATATTCTATGCTTGCCCATTGGTGAATTCATGTTGATTATTGCCAATTTCAGATAAACAAGCATTCATCCCTTGTTGTCTGCCATCCCAACTTTTTTATATTTCATATACGAGTTGTCCCCTCTGTTCTAGATTCAGTACAGTGTGCAAATCATCATTGGATTATATATATATATATATATGTAGTCTTGCTTTTAATGCATTAACGAGGGTCCACACTTGTTGAATTGTCTTCTTAAATTCATGTGCAAAACTGGAAATGACTACTCAATATTGGAGAATTAAATTAAACCCTTGTCAAACTAAAATTCACTCGACTCCAATTTTTAATTAGAAAAAAAAATTTACAGTTAGTTGTATTATCCTCGTAGACCTTTAATTAACACAAAATAAATATATTAATTTTATAAGTAAATGTATATCTTTTTACAATCCAAAATATTATTTCCCCAGAAGCCTGAATAATAGATATCCAAAAACATGTTTTCAAGTTCAACATAGGTCTCAACCTCAATTTCTTCTTTCTTAGGTCTGCTTAAATTTGAGTTCAAATTCTAGCCAATCGTATTCAATCGATTCTAATAATCTACATATCTATATTTAATATGAAAATTCCAACAAACTGCAGTATTCATGGAACAAAAATAAGATGACCCTATTCAAGAGTCATGCACAATACGACTCATCTTTTAAATTACGTACAATGCATAAGACACACTAGTTTAACCTAAAAACGAAAGTATTTTGTATAGAAGACATCAATTGCCTTTTAACAATCTTTATTTTCAACATCATAGCAAGTATCATCCATTAAATATTATACAAAATAATTATGGGGCAACAACAGACTTTTTTCCCCTTCCTTCAATAGAACTGCAAGGTTGCGGTAAAAAAAAAAACAAAAAACAAAAAACAAAACTGCGAGGTTTATACAATTACAGAACTCCTCAAATCCAGCTGTAACTTGTAACGCTCTATTTGATTGTCATTAATTCCCAATGTCATACAAACATGTGATTCCCAAGAGGAGCAACAGAACTTGAGCAAAGGTATTCTCCTGCACTGCTCGTCATCAACAAAAAATAATCCACGCCCCCAAATCGTATCCAAGAGAAGAAATCATCTGAGAATGAGAAGGCACATTGGCATAAGGAAGTGTAGACTGTAGACCCAACTATGCGAATCATACATTATTTATACAAGGCAGACAACAGATACATACAAGAAATTATTAACCTTTTTGTATGAAATCCAGAGTCTTCTGAGGAAAAAGAGAAGTTAATTCAAGATATACAAAAGGCAAATTTTTCATTTTTTGATTCTTAAAGATTTGCTCAAACTTTGATTTAGACCCAGAATTTATTTTTTTGGTGCGTGGTTAAAAACACGGACCCTTGTGCTTTCAGAATTTTTAGATGGTTTCTTTACAGTCCCTTGCATCTTTCAAATGGTTTCATGTTATTCCCTCATGTTTTCTAAGGATTAGCATGTAATTCCTGTTATTCCAGCGCTCCCAAATCCTTCAACGAGGATTTTCAACCGTTTGAGATGTCATTGACGGCTTGACGCTGTGGAATCACCACAATCACAGTGCAACCAATGCCTCCTTGATGCTCGAGAAGTCACTGACCCTTTTTGATTCATGAAATCACAGAACACATGAAAGATTGAACCACCAAATCCAAGTCCCAACTCTTTACTTTGAATGTGAGGGATGAACCCCAAATTGTGATTGGCAATTATATGAGGGGAACACCATATAATCCTGAGTTGGGTCAGACAACTCCGTTAACAGAGTTAACAAAGAAGAATGATGTTGAACCCTAATTGACTTTGAGAACTACTTCTCCAAGTCCAAAATATAAACATTTCCCCTCAACAAATCTTGGTTCAAAATATCTGCAATCTAGTATCTATTTTACCCCTCGTATTTATTAATCTAGATATTTGTATGAATATATCTCTCACTCATCAAAAAGTGCATTGGTGATTGGGGGATTGAGGTAAAAAGGGAAAACAAAATATATTTTTACGGGAATGAAAACTTTATTGATATGCAGATTTTTTTCAAAAACTACTTATATTTTGGATAGGAGGGAGTATAATTGAACCAAAATAAAGGTAGAAGGGCTAGATCCAATGTTGAATAGGACTTCAAGGACTAACTTTTGCCAGAGATGAACAATATTGAAAAGAACTACCCAACATCATCAAAACCGTATAAGACATTCTCTAAATTATTACTATCAACCAAATGACGCCATTAGAGCTTCACAAACCAATGTGATTAAATCAAACGATGCAGATAAAATTCAATGTGTTGTTGACGATACAAGAAAATTTAAACACTCCAAAGTAACAAGAGAGTAAGTAAACGTCAGGAAAACTTGTTATCTGGCACCTCATAACTGGGTCAAGGTAAGCAGTGACTTATCTCCATAAAACAGGGATAATGCAGGATATGAAGGACATAACACAAACAGAGATTTGAAATTTTTGTCCAATTCCACTGAAGATCCTCGTGAGAAACCTATCAATTAGATGGAAGAATAACAAAATTATACCTGAATAGGAGGCATGACGTGACTCTTGCTTGTTGAATCATTGAGGGAAACATCATTTCACCTCAATAGTATCCACAGGGCTGTTTGTTTGGACTTCCCTCATCACCTCTGCCAGAAGACTCCTCATCTGGCATGCTGAAGATTCTCTCCCACCCTCTCTAAGGGATTTGACATCAAGGAATGTGTGTATAATTTCTAGCTTGCCCAAGATGCAATTTTAATAGCTCTAGGGTTGTCTTTAGGCCTTACAAGCGTTCTGCAGCCCAACTAACGATGAAGAGTGCATTGGTTTTTTATTATTGACACAACTCGATTGTGGCTAATTAATTAAACTCAATGTAATGTAATCAAACTTTCTTGGGCTTTAATTATTGGCCAAATATTACTGTAGCTAATAATTAAAACCAATATTATTAAATACAATTCTATAACACTATTTACTAGCCTAGACTGACCATGATCAATAATGAAACCAAATTTAGTTTGTTAAAGCCTAAAGATTGAATATGATATAATTTAACATTAATTTAATATTGAATAGTGGCAATGTAATTATATTATACAGGCCATTATGATTTCCGGTAACCTTAAGTGTGTTAAATTAATTCATGATGGGTTAAGGGTTATTTTTGCCCTCAACTTTAACCAAAGGGTCTATGGATACTTTAAACTCAACTATAAGTCAATATTGCCCCTCAATGTTAGAAATTCTCTATCTCGATATCCCTGACATTATTCACCCATTATGTGGGTCCCATTGTGCAATATTTTACAATAAAAAATATTTTAAAAAATCAAGTGTGGGACCCAATGTGCAATATTTTATAATAAAAAATATTTCAAATGTAGGACGCACATAATGAGAGAAGAGATGAGTTAACGTCAGGGTTACCAAGGTAGCGACTTTTTAACGTTGAGAGAGAAAATTGACCTATGGTTGAGTTTACGGTGCCCATAGACCTTTCAGGTAAAGTTGGAAGGTAAAAATGACCCTTAACCCATTGCTAAAGCCGTGTCTACTCTTTTGTGCGACCATGAAGGTTCTTATTACATTGGCAATGACCTTGGGATTACAATGACAACATCTAGCCATATCTAGCAATATATCACCGTCACCTGAGTGATCAGAATTTCCATGACTCAACAAATCTAATCCATGACTAAAAATTCATGTTCCTTATTCTCTTTTGCCCAAATATCCAGATTAAACTTGAGTCATGGAATGTGCCATCTTTATGATTCAACCTACATTTTTTGATCCTAAGTAGACTACTCAAAACTAAATGAATCAATATCACGGTTTCATTCATTTGAGTGCAATCATGCATTTCTTTTTCTTTTTTTCCCTTTCTTTCTTTCTTTCTTTCTTTTCTTATAACCCACAGTCATGCATTTCCTACCTCTACCAAATCATGGAACCCACAGATATCACTTATGATTTGCGATTCATTCAAACACTGCCTTTTAGCCATGTCTGCCACTGGATGACATAAAACGGCACCAAAGTGTACATCTCCTGTTGTAGCAAATCATAGCAACTTCAAGTCTAAAGTGGCCGCGTACATTATAGTTTCTACAAGAATCATAGATGACACTTTTTATCAATCAATGCAGCATTATCATAGTGGGTCAGTTCATCACCCTTGTTCTCCAACCAGCACTTATGTATTGATTTGATATCTCTCATATCCATGACTACGGTCATCAGCCACCATGCATGCTAGTCTCAATATATTATAGTTATCGTAATTCAGAAAAATACTTAGACTAGAGATACTATTAAGAATAACATTCTAGGGGCAGTTATATGTTGATTTTTATTAAGAATATAATAACTCAATTGCTTTTTAATAAATAACAATCATCTCATCTCATGATTGGCTTTTAGGACATACACTAACAGATAAATCAGGGGAGTTTCAATTCAAATCCAAGAGACAAGTATTTGGCATAGTAATCAATCGACCAATAATTCAGGGTACATAAACTATACCTGGGCCTTCTGCTACAAGGCTTAATTTATTGTTCGTTCAATGCCACCTGCTGGCATAACCTCTTCCATGACCCCATTGGCCACCTCCATGCCATCCACCAACTTGATCACCACCACGCCATCCACCAAATTGATCACCACCATGCCATCCGCCTATTTGATCACCGCCACGCCATCCGCCTATTTGATCACTGCCACCTCTACCATCTTGAATATAACGCCGAGGTCGTCTTCTCTCCACAGACAATATATAACCTCCAACCTCAATTCCATCAAGTTCTAGTGCTTTATTAAAGCCATCAACATCCATGAAGTCCAACCAAGCATACCTGTAATGAGCATGCATTTACAACCAAGGTGGGCAATAAGTTCACCCATTTAGAGGCATAATCTGAGAAATGTAGCAGAAGGGGGACGGTATTAATAAAAGTACTTTATAGGTACTATTGCCTTCTAGCCCCCTATGGCTGGAATCCTTGCCAAGGAGTTCAATGTTTTGGATGCAATATCTGTCAGAGTGTGGGCATTCAAAAAGGAGTGGTAATCCGTGCAGTACAGACAAAGAATATGAAGTAAAACAGGAAGGAAAAAGAGAAACAAAAATGCCACATAAAGAAACCAGCATGATAGAGCAGAAAAACAAGGATTTAGCCATAGCTGAAGTGAAGGAATGGAAATCCAGCAGAAAGGGGGCCCATGTATGTTGATAATGAATATGAATTTTGGGTGTGCCAGTAGAGTCATTTTCCTTGACAGGGGAATTGAGGAGAGAAGGTATCTTGCATAAGTGGATAGATTGTGGGACAATCAAGTAAAGAGATAACTGAGGAAATGACATCAAGCAACTTAACAATGTCAGTACAATCCTCAAAAACTAATTGACTGCTGCTTATAATGCCTGAGCATGACATCAGGTACAGGTGAATAATTCCAGTGAGCCGCTATACTATAGTGTGAAACCTATATATTTAACCCAAAAGAGGCAACATCTGAGAATTCATGGCCTTTTCTTTTGGTGCCTTTTGACAGCTAAGAAGTTTGTTTTTGGATCAATGACTTTTATGGTATCGTATGGAAGCATTGCTGATAAGCATCAAGAGGATGCTATTCGAAGTAACTATGGACATGGAATGTGACTCACAAGCTTAAAACATTTTCCCAGTGTTGCACCGAATTTGAGGAAAAAGCTGAATTGTTCATGGTTCATGAATATTCTTGCTATAAACTTTATTATATATATTGATGATGGTTATTCAAATTGACCAAAAATACCTCCATATTCAAATCAAATACCATATTTCATATCATTATATATTGTTGTTATGTTTTTTTTTTTTGGATTGCTCATAAGTATTATCCTATTCGAAGTAATCTTATTCAAGGCACGGTCAAGCACTAGATGTGCATTGTCACTTTTATTTGTCATTTTTCATTGCAATAGAAGGGAAGCAACTGGACAATACGAACAGAAACGGAAAACAACCTCCAGCATTTGAGAGCCTAGAGGCTCCCCTAGCAATACCAAGAGAAACGTAAATTACAGGGCCATGCCGAAAATTTTCAGAGTTTATCATGTCATATCATGTGAACTAAAAAATTGGCCATTATAAACAAAAAAGGATAAAAGAAACACACCCTTTAGTAGAACCGGTGCCATAATCTCGTGCAATTGATATCCTTGAAATTACTCCACAAGAACTGAAATGCTCTTCCAGGCTATTTCTTATCTGAAAGAACAGAAATAGAGTCATTAGCAGTAAGAAATAAGAATACAAATCATGCTTTGGATAATGAGACATGCATGCAATCTCATCCATAAGAAATAAAGCAACATACATATTCAAGATAGAATTACCTCATCTTCTCTTAAGGATGTATCAAAACCCCTTACAAACACTGTTTGAGACTCAACACTTCCAGAGCCGTCCCTGTTCCCATGAATAATAACAAGTAAACAGAAAAGGGAAGATGTAGATATAAGACAGAGAATGAAACGAATTATTAAGATGAAAAAGAAAGGTATTGGTAAATACCTGCTACTGGAAGAATGCACAATCTTTTCATTAGCCAAATCAAGCCTTATATATTGTCTCAACAGTTCGTTTCCATTCAACTTAAGGGCCTATCGTTACATGATAAAAATTCTTCAGCTCAAGATAGTCTAGATATTAACAAATGAATGAAGCACACCATCTTTGAACATTGAGAGAGCTCAGCAAAAGTAGGGACAGAGCAAGCTAAGGGTGTAGCGGCTCAGAAAAAACAATGCATGTCAACTGAAAGATGCATTAAGGAGAGAAGCACCAACTTGTACCCTCTATATCCGTAATGGTTAACCCTTACTCAAAGAAAATAGTTTGCAACAATAGTAAATCCTATGATTACCATTTCCATAGGACAGACTCTAAGATGATCTAGTCAAGGAAAATAAATGAACTGCAACAGACAACAGAAATTGCAATGAATTTCACTTTATTTGAACAAATACTTAAAAAATACCAAGAAAGGAACAAAACATGCGATATCAACTAAATCCATGATGTATTTATTCTCAAGTAAATATGTTAAAAAATACTTACTATCTTTTTGGTAAATTTTCAGTCCAGGAAAAATTTTCCCGGTGGAAAAATCCTCTCTCACGAGGCATAAACCATTCACATTGATTGCCAAAAAAATCAAAATACCACCAAGATCAAAATTTAGAAAGGGGGAAAAATTACAACAAATGAAATAAGGGAAACAAAGAAACTTTTGTCTTATAATTAATAAAGGAAGAGGAAACTATATTCATTTTAGCCCTAAAGTGAAGCCTGCTAACAAAATTTATAAATGAACTTCAAAAGATAACCGATCAATATCCTGAACTCTAAAAAGTGAAAATGTTAAGCCCCAAATAATATTTGGAACTGGAAATGAATTGAGTTAAGCGAAGCATTGCCATCAAAGACAAAATCAGATGGCCTCATGCTGTTGATTTTAACTAGAATTTAAAGTTCATGAGGAGCATTTTGTTACTCTCAAAGTTCATATACCAATTTTGTAACAAAGACCTTGGTTCAAGGGGACTAAAATGTAGTTTTCCCCTTAAAGGAATGAGACCTTCCTCAAATCCTCAGTAAACAGTGTAAAAAATAGAGAATTTTATTACAGTCTGACAGGTCCATTGCCAACTCTTATGGTTGTGAGAGGTCAGGTTGAGAGCAAGGTAGAAAAATAAAGGGCCATAGGTAGAGAATATACTGAGTGAGAGCAAGAAATTGGCCACTGTGTGGAGAGTTTGCTTCTGTTCTTTGTCATCACCTTTTATTCTTCAGTTTCTATTTCTGATTATGCTACTGTGATAAATCGCTCCTCATCCATTCCTTTGAATTTGACAGGATTCCCTCTTTTTCATTTTATCAGTAATATAGCAAAAGATCCTACGGTGTCATACTGGATTTGGTTTCCATCACAATCACACTCAGCCTGTTTGGTACACAAAATGGAATGGAATGAAGTAAAAAAAGTGATTTTATATGTGAAATGTCTTTCATGCTCTAAATAAAAAAAGTACCAAGAGACAAATACTGTTAAATGATGATAATATGGGTATAACGAACATTGCATATCCCAATTTGCATATTATGAAGAAGGAATCTTTTTCATAGTTTAAACTTTTCATAGTTTAAACCAAATGGAGACTTAAAATTTGTACACGCACTAATTTACCAGGACACCATATTTAAGTTTTGCCCTTATTTATAACATTTATTAATTGCATTACACTTGCATGTGGACTTCTCACCAACACTTCAATGACACACGCACACTTCAATCATGCGTGCACTCAGTTCTAGTCCTTTGGGTAGTTTCTTCACTTCCTCGCACACAATTGCATTTTGAGTTTTTGTGTGTTCACCAACTTTCTTTCATTGATTCAAAATGGTGTGCAAAAGTCAGCATATATACAACAACCAAAAGCAAAAACATCAGGTACCCTAATCCTATTCTTAGCCAACAAATATGCCTAATTCAAACTACACATAAATGCAATATTTGGCATATTACAAATAACAAAAATTAAATGCAAGAATCGTATTAATCTTGCCATACTCTCCCTCAAGTTGGAACATAAATGTTAATCATGTTCAATTTGCTGATGCAATCTTCAAAATTCCTCTTGAAAGCCCTTTAGTAAGAATTTTGGATGTTTGTTTTTTCCATCAGGATGCATGTTGAGTAAATTATCCCTCCTTTGACCTTTTTTCAATGAAATGTCTATCCACTTCAACATGCTTGGTTCTACCATGTTGAATTTGACTGAGTGAAACTTCATTTACCTACTTTGAGCTATTGGATGTACCAATCACAAGGTGTCCAAGAACTACTAATAAAGTATCAATTATGGTGGGATAATGGATAATTTGGGAAGTTAGAAATATATAAGGAATAAATATCAACAACAACAACAACAACAACAAGCCTTTATCCCACTAGGTGGGGTCGGCTACATGGATTGCAAGACGCCATTGTGCTCTATCATTTATTAAGCTTTTAGAAATATTATTAATTAAGAGATCATGTTCAACAACTTCCAAGAGTGTTCTCTTAGGCCTTCCTCTACCTCTCTTAATCGGACTCAAAGTTATATGTTCCACTCTTCTCACTGGTGCCTCCCTTGGTCTTCTTTGTACATGCCCAAACCATCTCAACCGATTTTCTACCATTTTTTCCTCAATAGGTGCCACCCTCACTTTTTCACGTATGTGCTCATTTCGAATTTTATCTTTACGTGTATGTCCGCACATCCATCGTAACATTCTCATCTCTCCGCACATCCATCGTAACATTCTCATCTCTCCGCACATCCATCGTAACATTCTCATCTCTGTTATTTTCTATTTAATATTTAGGATATTTTCTGTTTTGTAGGGTTTGCTGGGAGGCCCTTAAACTTAGGAATAGTGGGTACTTGTAGATTAAGTCAATAATTATATTTATTTATATTTTAGGCAGTTATCTTCCATTATCTAAGTTATGGATTAATAGGAGTATTTTTAAGAATTATTAGTCATTTTTCTATCCATAATTATTAAGGCACAATATGTAGAAATCATCAAGAAATACAATCCTTATTTTGTTATATTAGCAGAAATTCTCCTTTGACTTTATTAGTTGTATGAGTTTAAGACCCTTGCTCATCTTCTATTAAAGATATTCCAGTATAATTATTAATTCATGAAATTAGATTCTCATTTCCTATTCTAATAAAGATTTATCTTTCTTATTTCTCTCTACCTATCTTGGATCCTATCATTTGATATCAAAGCGATTTGATCCAAAGATGGTTTCCACCCATTCCACACACATTCTTCACAAACCCATATTTTCACCACCCATCCCATCCTATTATCACCCATCTTCTACAAGGCATTTTCCCAAGTATGATGGTAGGGATCCCCACTCATGGATTTTAGAGGCTGAAAATTATTTTCAATATTATCACATTTTCGAAGACTTAAGGTTGATATTACATTGAAGCACTTAGAAGGAGGCACTAGTGATTTTTTCACTTCTATTAACATGGAGCATATCATCCTCTATTGGGAAGAATTAGTAGAGGTATTATAAGAAAATTATGAGCCTCTGGAATACCAGAACCTAGATGAGTTCTTGTGCAACATCAAGCAAACTGGTTCAGTCCACAAGTACAAGCAAGAATTTGCAAAATGCATCACTCTAGCTAGAGCACTATCTTCTCGGCATCTTCTTAAGCGACTTGAAAGAAGAGTTAAGAGCTCATGTATGCATACAAAAGCCAAACACCATGTTTAAGGTTGTAAGTCTTGCCCTAGAATATGCGTAAAAGACCCAAGTTCAATTTGAACCCAAGCCCAATGATTCCTTCACTCAAAATCGGCCCAACCCTTCTGCTAGTCCTCAAAATTATTTCCCATGTGATCAAATTCATCTGCCATGTCATTTCCAGCGAGCACATTTTCTTCTCACTCAAGTTCTACAAACATGTACGTGTACAAACCTACGGATATGTCGTTTTTGTCCCCTGCTCTTAGACCAACAAGCTCGATGACATCCAGACCCTCCCTTATGGATGCCGAACACTAAAGGAGAAGAGAGAAGGGCCTATGCTCCCGTTGTGGTGAGAATTTCAGACCTGGTCATCACTGCAAAGGAACCTTCTCATTGCTAGAAATTACAGAAGTGAGCGAGGAAATTGTTCATCCTCTTGAAGATGTTGAAATTGAAGAACCTGAACCTGAAAGTGCTGAAAGTTCTCTCAATGCTGTTCTAGGTAGCAACAACTTATCTGCAATGAAGCTTCAAGGGAGCTTCTTTGAGCCAAGTCCTATACTTGATGGATAGTGGGTCTAACTGCAACTTAATCCTTAAAGTTTCCATGCAGCCTCTTGTTCAACCCTTTGGAACCCATGTGGGAGATGCTGTTATTTACTTATTACTCCTATCTCAACCCCCAAATACACAAGAAAGCTCTTGCCAATGTCTCACCTTGAGGACAAGGCAAATTTCCAAGGGGAGAGTATTGATAGAGTACTGATTATGGTGAGATAATGAATTTGGGAGATTAGAGATATATTAGGAATAAATATTATTTGAAGTTATTTTCTAGTTAATATTTAGGTTATTTTTTGTTTTGTAGGGTTTGTTGAGTGGCCCTTAAATTTAGGAATAGTAGGTACTTGTAGATTAAGTCAACAATTAAATTTATTTATATTTTAGGTAGTTATCCTCCATTATCTGAGTTATGGATTAATGGGAGTATTTTTAGGAATTATTAGTCACTTTTCTATCTATAAATACTAAGGCACAATATGTAGAAATCATCTGGAAATACAATCATTATTTTGTTATATTAGTGGAGATTCTCCTTTAACTTTATTAGTTGTATGAGTTTAAGATTCTTGTTCATCTTCTATTAAAGATTTTCCTTTATCTTTATTAATTTGGAAAAAGCTTATGACCGTATACCAAGAGAAGTGCTTTGGAAAGTATTGGAAAAAAAGGGAGTACGGATTGCTTATATTAAAGCCATACAAGATATGTATGAGGGGGTAAAAACTAGTATAAGAACGCCTAATGGTCAAACAAAGGATTTTCCTATAAAGATTGGACTACATCAGGGATCATCTCTGAGTTCTTATCTGTTCAACTTGATCCTAAATGTTTTGACGGAACATATTCAAGGGGAAATTCCCAAATGTATGCTCTTCGCGGATGCTATAGTTCTTATAGCAGAGACAAGAGAAGAGGTTATTGCAAATTTGAGTTATGGAGGAAAACATTGGAGTCGAAAGGTTTCCGTCTGAGTAGGAGTAAGACGGAATATTTATGTTGTAAATTTGGTAAGAGACTATTCGACAATAATTTGGAAGTGCAATTGGGAGATCAAATTATACTCAAGCAAAAAATTTTAGATATTTGGGAGCCATTATTCAAAATGATGGCGAAATCAGTAGAGATATTTCACATAGAATTCAAGTTGGGTGGTTTAATTGGAGAAAAGCTAAACAAGTTATTTGCGACCGTATGGTGCCTAATAAATTTAAAGGAAAGTTTTATTGCACTGCTATCAGACTGGCAATGTTATATAATAGTGAACGCTAGGCTCTAACGGGACAGCAAGAGCATAAAATTGGAGTAGCAAAGATGAGAATGTTACGAAGGATGTGCAGACATACACATAAAGATAAAATTCGAAATGAACACGTACGCGAAAAAGTGAAGGTAGCACCTATTGAGGAAAAAATGGTAGAAAATTGGTTGAGATGGTTTGGGCATGTACAAAGAAGACCAAGGGAGGCACTAGTGAGAAAAGTGGAACATATAACTTCGAGTTCGATTAAGAGGGGTAGAGGAAGGCCTAAGAGAACACTCTTGGAAGTTGTTGAATGCGATCTCTTAATTAATAATATTCCTAAAAACTTGATAAATGATAGAGCACAATGGCGTCTTGCAATCCATGTAGCCGACCCCACCTAGTAGGATAAAAGCTTGTTGTTGTTGTTGTTGTTGTTGTTGTTTTATTAATTTATGAAGTTAGATTCTGATTTCATATTATAATAAAGATTTATCTTTTTTATTTCTTTCTACCTATCTTAGATACTACCAACAACCTCTGGGTCTAGTTCTTAGCACTTTAAGTGTAAGTTCCTCACTATTGTTTGATTGCTTCCTTTGTGAGTATACCAAGCACATTTTATTTTTTTTCTTTCTTTCCACGTCTCCCAATTTTGAACTTCCTTCTGTTTCTAGCATCAGAGAAGACGATTGAACTAGTGGTGGCAGAGCTAAGTCAAATGAAGAAGTTTCAAGCGGTTCAAGTAAAGGAGGTGGCAGTATAGTCCATAGGTCAATTGCATATCTATTAGGATTTTCTCCATATTCCCTCCAAAAGCTTAATGTGACTTGACAACAATCAGCATTGACAAAAATCTTGCTTGCCATGATAGGATGAAGCATGTACAGCTGGATGGAAATTTCATCATAGGAAAGTAGAGTCTGGACTCATATGCTTAACTGGCTTTGCTACACAGTAGCAGGCTTCCCAGTGCCTACATCCCAACAAAAAGCTCTATCTAGGGTGAAATTTAAAGAAACAATCTGGGAAAGTTAGACATACACTCCCCAACTTGAGGGGAAGTGCTGCGAGATATCAGCCCTTTCTCTCTTAAATTATTTTTCTACTATCATTCTTCTTTTTATTTTATTTTGATCATCATCACTTAGATTAAGGATTCAGATACTATCTAGGGTATTGCCCAAGATGATTTTCTGATTTTCAGAGTTCTGAATAGAATAGAAGCTTAGATTCTGTAACAGATCAAGCTCTTCCACCAAAATACATAGTAATAAAAGCACAGGCGAAGGGACAGGCAATAATAAAAGCATAAACCTCCATCATATAACTTTTAAAGGGTCCTGAATGATGATCAAACTAGCCATTATGAGATAAGAGCTTACATTTCGTGCTGCTTCTTGAGTGGCAAACTCAACATGTCCAAATCCTTTAAACCTCCCTTCACGATCTGTAGCTAAACGGATATCAATAATTTCTCCACAGTCTTTAAATAAATTTTCCCTGAACAATGATGAGATCAGAAGTAAACAAACAGCCAAACAAAAAAACTGCCAAGCACTTGCATATGAAACAGTACATACAAATCAACCCTTTCCACGCTATATGACAAGTTTCCGACAAATACTGTCTTTGATGTGGCATTTTGTTCTTTTGGAGCAGCTGGCATTCTAGCCTGTAACATTTCATAGAATCAAGCATGACATCATTGATTGAAACACAAGTCACAATTATTTCATGTCCTCAACATAAGATGAATAGATTAACATTTATGCTAACAATTTTCCACCTTATATATGTAGCAAAACGTTTGAGCCACCAAAACTGACCACCCAACAACTAAAAGATTTTCAATCTATACCTAAGTCTTGAAGAAGTAAAGGTTTGTTCAGTTACTATTAGATTATTAGGAAGAAAAGCAACATAAATGAATTGAGATAAATACCATCAACTATCTCGTGCTTTATGAATGAAGCATAAACCAATTAATAATGTCTATTAATTTTTCTACAAATGAATAATATCTCATCAGAAAACATGCAACTGAATAAGACATGTTTATAGGAAATAAAGTGACATCCAAATATGCTACAGATAAAATTACCTCATTTCCTGCTAATGAAGGATCCTCCCGGGTAGCTTCATTCCTGTTGCCACAATTATTAAGAAACAAACAGAATAAAGAAATCATGGATATGAGGTAGGAAGGGGGGGGGATTAAGGTAATCAAAAAAGCATTTGACAAATACTTGATACTGCGTGTATATGCACCCCTTTCAGGAGCTAGATCAAGTCTGAGAGGTCGTCTCAACAGTTCTTCTCCGTTCAACATAAGGGCCTAGCATTACATAATAAAATTCCTCAGCATAATACATTTAAGAGTTAAGATACAAACAAATTAATGAAGCATGCCATCTTCGCACTTAATGAGGGCCCCAGCCAAAATAAGGACAGACCTAACTAAAGCATAGTTGCATAGTTAAAATTATACAATAAAACCTAGCTCGCAAAAATCAGGACAGCAATATCAACTTATACCCTCTGTCATTAATAAGTGCAAGGAATTATATTCAGATATTAATAGATACTTCCAAAGCTATCATCCATGAAAGTGGTCTAGATAATGTGAGATATTGATGTAAAACAGCAAGGGATGGAGAGAGAAGAGAATGGAGGAAGAAAATAGAGAGAAGAGGAGGGAGAAAACGAAAACTTGAGGAAGAGTGGGTAACTGAAATTCTCAAATTTATTCAATTCGTCAAAGAGGTCTAACAACCAAAGCAACTCTAGGGTTATTTATAAAGCCTTATTCCTAATACTAATTAAACTATCACAATCCTAAAAAATAGGATTAAATTTCACTCAAATTTAAAATAAACTAAATATTTAAATAAGATAGGATAGGATAGGATAATAGGATAAATCCTATTCCAACTAAATTTATTTAAAAGAATAAGATAGGATAGGATAATAGCATAAATCCTATTCCAACTAAATTTATTTAAAAGAATATAAATCCTAATTCAAAATAAATTAATATCCTAACTTTTAAGATAAAGATGACATCAATTTAATCTTAGATTTTCCTAATCTAGGATAGATCTTCCATTTTTCATTACAAATGCTTACACTTTGTGCTGCTTCTTCTGTGTCAAATAAAACATGAGCGAAGCCTTTAAACCTCCCTTCACGATCTGTAGCAAATCGAATATCAACAATTTCTCCACAATCTTTAAATAAATTTTCCCTGAACAAGTGTCAAGATCAGAAATATGCATACATACACACACATAGAAAATATATGTTTAGCATTTGCACTGGAAATAATACATACAAATCAGCCCTTTCCGCACTATATGACAAGTTTCCAACAAATAGCATCTTCGATCTGGCATTTTGTTCTTCAGACGGTGCTGACGTTGTAGGCTGCAAAAATTCATGGAACGACACATCATATCAATGAGAATACATTTTCACTGATGAAACCCATGTCATAATTATTACAGCGCTCAATATAATGAATAAGATATCATCTATGTTACCAATTTTCAAATTTTGGTCTTTATATACTGCAAAACAATTGAAAAACCAAAACTGACCATCATCCTAAAAATATTTTCAACTTATAACCAACAAGTCTTGAAGTGAGGTTAGTTCAGTTTCTATGAAATTTATGAGTACCGCCCAGGCTATATGAATTATGAATAGCTAAAGACACCCCTAATTCTTACCCATAAAAAAAAAAAGACGCCCCTAGTTATTCAATGCATGTCTAACCTGTCATCACAAAACCAAACTTATTTATATATTTCTCTATTAAAAAAGTTTAATTCACTTTTTCATCAGAATGCTTGAACAGTGCAATTATCTTAGAATTTGTGCCCCCGTCTATTTTAATTGAAAGTTACATACGTGTTGCCGAGGTAAGAAGGAATAACATCTACCAATATATCAATATCCACTAAAACTTCCAAAAAGTATGCTTGCCAAATGCAATTTACCTAGCTAACAGGTGGAAATCCACCTCAAAATTGTCATGAAAAATTTAACCACCATTATTAATCCATATAAAATACTGCTGAAGCAGGTTTGGAATTTTAAAAGAAAAAAAATTATTCCTCAACCTTTAAAAAAAAACTAACAATTGCATTGATAAACAAAAAATTGTTTTAGTTTGATGCATCTTGCGTAAATTTGAAGGGTGTAGATCCTGGGGAGAATCTTATCAGAAACGTGGTGCAGAATACAATGTAATCATAATATCATTCAATACCATCATCACATCAGTTCATCCCTTATTTATAGGCAAGTATAAGTCATATAGCTCATTTAACCAGAATCCTTTCTGATAGAGCAGAATTGCTAACAAACACTACCAACTACTTATCTCATTTAACAATCCACCCTCCCAAAAACTTATCCTTGAACCTTGGGCCCATTGCCTATCTGTAGCAGCTGAAAAGAGCCTATATGCTTATATAGCAGCCAAAATGCCCCAGACCAACTCGCTGCTACAACATGCCAATAGATGGTTCTGGATTAAATCAATCCCGTCACTAACAACAATATGCCCTCAAGCACGTGGGGAAAAACCCTCCTTGAGATGCAGACCTTTCAACCTTCTCTTGTAATTGACTTTGACTATGTATTGAAGACTCATCCCATATATGCAAGCTTCAAGGACTAACTGAGAGTGGTCTAAATAAATGTGAAGGGCAACAACACTAGTAATGGACTCTTTAATCTCGCACATAATCTAGAATAAAGTCCTCTGTGATAATGATTAAGCCTTGACGAAATCACAGCTCTTCACCAGCACAGACCTTATGAGGTAGAGCAAATCATTTTTCACTTGAGTCTATGTTCCCAAATCCTCCACTTCTCATTTGAGTTGACAACCTCAAGGCTACAAGAAAAACTCTCAAACAAAATACTGCATCAGGTCTGTCCCTGATGTTCCCAAGACTGGCACTTCAGCAAATCAGTCACAATGCTGTGTGATCCTGGCAAGTGCCACACTGCTTTCCAATGTTCAAGCAAGACCCTTTCAAGCTTTGCTTCTGTGACAATGCACCACATTGAACAATCAGACTTTTCTTTTAGTTCTATAACACTTCAAATGAAGTTTCTGTTCTAGCTTTTTGGAACTTGCCAGAAAATATAGTGCTTTAATGAATGCAGTGAGTATAAAAGAAGGCAAAAGGACTCATCAACATAGAAGCCAATTTTACCAATCTTGCTAGTTATGATTAGTGAGCAAAGACTGAAGAAAATGCCTTATCCTTATTCAAAACACTGTGTCAATTTATATACAAGGTTGAGGCTTCCAGGATTTACTACTACTAATTTCAAATCACTACATTCAAGCCTAGAAATATGCCTATTATTTTTAGATTATTCTAATCTACTGATGACCTTATACAATCTTGGATCTTATCTAATCCACATAAAAAAAGATTCAATATAGTAAACCACATACTGGAGATCCTTTCAGATAACAACAGATTTGTGTTCAGGCTGCCCAGTTCGTGACTGGCAAAGAAGACATGAATTGACAAACCACGCTCATAGAGTAAACAATGTCAGAATGAGTCACTATGAGATAATTCAATTTCAGATTAGTCCTCTATACTTCTCAAGATCTTCAAATGGCTCACAATCATGGTTAGGCTCCAAACTTTCTCGTTTCTATCAAAAGATCAAGAATGTATTTTCTCGGACTCAAAATTATACCCTCCTTATTCCTTGAGACTTCAACTCCTAGGAAGTATACAATGGTCCCAAATATATGGTCTGAAATTGAGAACAAAGAAAGGTTTTCAAGTGATGAGATGCTTGAAGTGAAATTCCCAACAATCACAATACCATCAATGTACACAACAAGTAGGATAATGCTAGCATCTATTTGCTTTTAGAACATTGAATGATCACCTTCTTGATTCAAAATGTTCCATGATCTTAATAGTATCCTCCTCTTCTTGGTCTTTCATGAGCGAAGGGTTTTGATAGGGTGAACTACTTTTGACTCCCGAACTTTATCCTTTCTATAATCACACTTGCTCTTCATCATTTCCTCTATCCATGCTGCAGATTAAGTGACAATGGAGCATAAAGTTCCCTAGAAGTGCGTAAGCATTAATAATTTGTGAGGTCCTCAATTGGAACAGAATAAAGTGTTTGATTAGCAATTCCTTCAGTCATACATTTTGTGGAGAGGATTCATTTTATGTTGTCTCTGTGGGTTTCTACAAATGTCTTCTTTCACAAGGTGTCCCTTATGGATCTTCAACGTGATTGCTAGGCTCTTCTTAGAGACTGAATTGTTTCATTGCCATTAGCGTTTGCTCATTGAGGACTTATATACTCTGTCTTTGTACTACTTTTTTGTATTGTTTTTTTCCTCTCATCAATAAAGGAATTAGGAACACGGATTATGCCATTGAGAATGAGACATGCATGCCAACTTGAATGCTGGAAATAAAGCAACAACCAAATATGCAAAGGATAAAATTACCCCATCTTCTCCAAAGGATGCTTGAAAACCCTTCAATGAGTTGTTCCTGTTCATACAACTATAAAAAAATTATGCCAAAAATGCTATAAAAAGTAAAAAGTAAAGCAAAAAGGTAAGATGTGGAAGCAAGAGGATAAAAAATTAATTTAGAGATGACAAAAAAATTCATAAATACCTGCTATTAGGGGTATAAGCAAACTTTTCACGGGCTATCTCAATTCTGACAAAACGTCTTAACAGCTCTCTCCCATTCAACATAAGGGCCTAGCATTATGTAAACGTTCTTCAACTCAATAACATTTAGATACAAACAAATAAAAGAAGCTTGTCACATTTTCACACTAATGCAGGGGCTCAACAAAAATAGGAACAGACCAAGCTAAGAGGTATGGCAGCTTAGGAAAGATTATAAACGAAAACTAACAGCATAGAGCAAGAAAGAAACAACTTCAACCTTTATCATTTATTATTAATTTTTTTATAGGCTTGTTCATTTCACCAAAATAGCTTGAGCTACTTAGTTACGATTGCCACAAACTTATATACCATTCATTTTTCTTATCGTTTTAAGATGTGGGACTTCTTTCAAAGTTTGTCCTTGACACAGCCCCTCAGATGTAACTGGAATTTATTCACTCTTTTTTTCTTTCTCCAAGTCAAAATATCATTTGTGTCTAATTCTATTAGCTTGGGCTCGTGTTCTGAGTATTAGGGGACTCAAGTCACAGCCTTCATTTTCTTCCATGCCTAGGCTTGTATTGAACTTCAAAGGCTCAAGCCCCAAAATCCTGTTTTTAGGGTTCCCGAATCTTTAGGTGGTCTGACTTTTTTTTTTTTTAACTCCAATACCATATTAATTTTCTTATTGGCTTGTGTTTTGGCTCCCCATTTCACCAAAATAGCTAAAGCTACTAGGTTAGGGTTGCCAAAAGCTTATATAATATTTATTTTTCCTAACATTTTCAGATGTGAGACTTCTTTCAAAGTTTGTCTCTAATATTTATAAACGTTAATAATTATGCAGAGATAGACAATGATATGATACACACTTTTACAACTATTCTAAATGGCTTGCAAGTCATATATGTGATGACATCTCAATTCCTACATCAAAAAGATATGATCATGGCTTTGAAAGAGAATACAAGAACTGATCATAATCTTTAAAATGTTATCAAAGCACTGTCTACTTTTACCCTAAGTGGTAAAAGTACACCTAAGAAATGAAAGCACATCTGTTGACAAGATTCTCTGATTTTCTGTTTATATTGTATGTTTATTGCTAGCTGACGTCTATGATTTTATGTTCAAATTTTATTCTTATCTTATTTCATTTTCTTGTTATTTTCTGGGGATCCAATTTGTACTTGATCCGCAAATAAGTAATCGGCCAGAATCCTAATAAAATAAACAAAAATTTTCCTCCTCCACTGTGTTCAACATCTGTCCAACAGGATCACAGGTAAGACAAGCTTCAACCATCCTTGCTATATTAACAGTTACAAAGTGACTATGGACTAGACATCAGACAATATGACAAATGCTTACATGTTTCGCAGCTTCTTCAGTGGCAAACTCAACATGTGCAAAGCCTCTAAACATCCCATCGCGATATAAACCAAAAGAGACATCAACAATTTCTCCACAATTCTTAAATAAATCTTCCCTGAAGAATGTTTGGATCAGAAAAAGAAATGCAGAAAATACATGCAAAGCACTTGCACAGGAAATTATACATACAAATTGGCCCTTTTCACCTCGTAGGATAAGTTACCAACAAATATTTTTTTTGATGTGGCATTTTGTTTTTCTGGAGCAGCAGCTGATTTAGGCTGCAAAATTTCAAGGAATGGCATATCATATCACTGGTTGTAACATTTTGATATATAAAGGGAAATAAGAAAAAGAAATCAGCCAATTACAACTTCCTTTCTAGTTGCCCCTGTTGAGGCAGCATCAACCATTTCATCATCTTTCACCTGATTCATACCAGCATCCATTATATGCTACAAGTGATCATGAGACTAAACAAAATTAGTTTTTAGCCGCCACAGAAAAAATAATGATACACATACATTTTTCTGAGGAGTAGTAGAAGGCTTCTCCTTGATCTCCTCATTTTCTTCGGAAACCTGTAATTAACAAAGGCCATAGTCATTGCAAGGCCTCAACATATAATGAATTAGTTAGTATTATTGCCGATTATCAAAGTTCCATCCCTGTCAACAACAAAACATTTGAACCATCAAGACTGACTACTCAATATCCTAAAAACCTAGAACTAAGCCATGAAGAAGTGAGATTAGTTCAGATGAAATTACTGGGAGGATAAAAAGGAGTACAACATGGATTAAATGACATGTACCATTTTCTACTTTGTGACTTACAAATAAACCAATGAAACTCGTTTATCTTTTCTGAGCATGTCTACTATTTCATCCCTAAATGCTAGTTATTTATTTATTTTTCTGCTTAAAAAAATTGATTCTTCTGTAGACAAGAAAGCCTGGGCAATACCATGGAACAATTACCTTAGGTTTTGTATCCTAAATACACAAGCATCCAGCTAAAGCTACAAGAAGGCGGGAGTACAAAATAGGTTTCTATAAGCCATGGCTAATTACCCAGTAGACTTCAGGATAAGAATAGAAATATGACAAAATGGAAGACTTAAACACACATTTGACATGTTGTAGCAACCCCTCTCTTATTTATAATACTCTCAAGATACAGATTAACTAAAACAACTCCTACAGATAATGAAAACATATGTTTGAAGACTCCTAAACAATAATAAAATTTAAGACTCTGGATAATAATAAACCCCTAGTCCATTAGGAATTCTACTTATATAGGCTTCTTAACTTTACTCATCAAGTTTTAGCTGTTACAAATAAAACCCAATTTAAAAATGAAAACAGTTATAGAATGAGATAACTAGATACAACACTCAACTGAAATTACCAAAACATAAGTACTTTGCACCCAACTGAACATTATTATTAAAGAAGACATTAAAAGAATGTGATTTACTGCACAAGTTATTTAGTAGCATTTTAGCATTAGTTTTACCATTATTTAGTATTTTTTTAATACCAGTTTTTGTTTAATCCAAATACATTACCTTGTTCGGTTTTTATTACCTCATCTTTCTGATTGGATAATTATATTTTAATTGTTTTCCTGTTTGTTAGATTGTCAGCCTTTTATTCTGACCTTTGGATTCAGATAAGGTTGTTTTCATTTAAAAATTGTATTAACTATTTTGGACAGTGCAACTTAGCCCTGCCAACCCTATTTGTATTCAAACAATTCAGCTTTCAATGAACAAGTCCACAAGAATCAGAGAAAGATTAAACTCTAAAATCTTCAGAAACAAATACATAGTTGGACAACAAGACAGTGTACTTTCTCTAATGACAGTGTACCATGGCTCGAAGGGTCACAAGTTCATAGCACAAGAACTTTATCTATCACACCCAGTACTTTCTCTAATCACTAATGACATCCTTGGTAGACCCAAAAAATTCTGGATTCTTTGACCAACTTTTTACAAGAGGCCACCTCAAATTCTTTCAATTTCTCTCCTTCAACATGTTGTCGAATCACAATGAGACAGCTCTGATATGTCTTTGATTTATGTCTCCTAAATAGTCTTCTTGACCATCCCTCAGTTTTCCCTATAGGGTTTCTCACTAGGGCAGCCGATAGCTCAATTCTTGCATTTTCACTATGTTAAAATGCTCATAAAATTTACTTGTGGCAGAATGATGATCACAACACTTCTTATATTTGCATAGGGAGCCAAAAGCCTAAACTTAGGACAACTTGCCACATGCATGGACCACAAATACGAAAAGATGGATTCAAACAAGGACCCGTCACTAAATAGCTCAGTAAACAATGATGAGTTTAACCAACAGGCAACTTTAGACATAGCAATCATGACCTGAAATCCATTAAATATATTTTCCTGGGGTATTCATCAACTTCATTAAAGAGAAAATTGATGCAGGTGTTATTAACTTATTCGTGCTCTTACACAATTCAAAGTTGCTAATGTTTTGACCAAGGCATTGACCAGAGTTCAGTTTGAAAAATTGCAATCCAAGCTGGGCAGGATCAATATTTAGAACGTAAAACGTGAGGAGGAGTATTGGGAGTTAGGATAGTTCAACCACTATTGAGTAGTTAAGCCACAGGAATATTTATTCATTTTATTCTTTCGTTAGATGTATTTTACCTTATCAGTGTTTGAATAGTTTAAGCATTGACATGTACCTCTCACCTGTTTTCCTGTTTTATACATTTGTTTTTATATTCCCTGTATTTCAGTCAAACAAGGCAGATCAGTGGTCTTCCATATAGGTTATTTATGTCAACCTAATTCAGCGAAATAAGATTATCATGAGATGCAATTTCCTCAGCTGATTCTTCAATAACTACTATAAGACTCCTGAACAATAATAAATTCAGAACTTAGATAACAACAGGCCCAACACTCTGCATAATAATAAACTCCAAAATCATTAAGAATTCCATTTGGATGAGTACATTGCATTCATCAAAGCCTTCTCTTGATTCATCATAGGAGTTGTCAATTTTCTCAATCCCCTCCCTTTGAGCAACTGAAGAAGCAGGCAGCTTCTTGGATGATGTCACATGTGCTTTCTGGACCTGCAAAGACAGTAAGAGCAAAGATGTTACAACAAGTCAATCAAAGGGACTAGATCATTTGGAGAAAAGCTCAACATAAGACTTACATCCTCCTCATCTAAGCCACTATCCAGGGATGAGTCATTGCTTGACTCAACCTTCTTAGTAGATATATTATTACCTGCAGCAGAAGTAGCAAGCAACTCCTTCGATGATGTGGTTACCTGGGATTTTAACAACTAATTCGTAAATCCCTAAATTGCAGTAAAAAGATCCAACTATTAAACAGAATTCAATAACCCTGAATTTACATTGTCCATATCCTCATTAGTTCTGGTGTCAGAATCTAAGCCTGAGGCTTTACTTGAATCAACTTCCTTAGCAGGATCTTTCTCACTAGCATCAGGGAATTTCTCAGGCACTATGGTTGCCTCTGTTTTTATATCCTAAAAACCGTCAGCCAAATATCATTAGGATAAAGTATTTGAAAAAATAAAAAATAAGCAGCCCAGAGGATCTCATTGTTTACATCTTTGTCAATAGAGCTACTCCCTGTATCTGACCTTGATTCGACTTTCTTCTTCACAGCACTGGGTCCACTCTTGCCTTCAGCAGTGGCTAACTTGGACTACGGAGCATGATAACAATGCCCAAGAAGTATCAGAAGTTTGAAAGGAGGCATTCAAAGGAATCCAATCAACATTAGAAGATCTCCTTACTACTTTGAAAATAGTCACTATTTATGATGTCATAACTCATAAGAAACTTGCTCACTCACATCGTTCAAACCAGAATCTTCGTCTGAGTTTCCAGGATCTGAAAACGAATCATCTGAACTACTTTCCTTCCTTTGATTTTCGGAAACCCAGTCTCTCTTCTGCTTCTTTGCAGTCACTAGCTTCTCAGGTTCATCCTCAGCCTCCCTCTTTCCTATATCAATATCAAGGTACGGAGATAACCACACAAAAGTTTCTACCAAAATAAGAAGTTAAAAAAAGCTAAACTTACATTATTTGAAACCAAAATATCTTCAAAAGCAATTGAATCATTGAGACTTAGGAAAATTATAATCCTATTTGTGTCAGGGTCTCACACCAAAAGTTGGATTTATCAAATACCTCATAGCACCAACAGTTAGGGGGGAAAACTTCTCTCCAGAAAATAACATATACGAAAATAAATTTCCGTAGGAATAAATGTCGAAATGCAAAATATGATCAAGAGAGCATCGAAGCACAAGAGGACAGGAGATGAAATCTCGATACCAATCGTGGCAGACTTCGATGGTGAAACTCCAGCAACAGCAGCGTCAAACTACAAGACATCGAAAACAATGAGCAGACAAGTTTCTCATTACAAACCACAATTGGCATTTCTGCAAACAAATCGTCCAATTAAAAAACAAGCGCCAGAAATAATGCAGTTGACAACATTGCATACATTGGGAGCAGATTTATTGCTAGACTCGCCCATGTTAGAGACGGATACCGCAGAGAAAAAAGGAATGCTAAAAGACGGGGGTTTAAGGGTTTTGGACCCGTGGAAAATGCTATCACTCACTACCAGTGCCAGAGTTGCTTATCCTGGCAATGGGCATCTTTAATGATTTTGGCTCCAAGTTTTCCTGCCCAAAAACCGGTAAGGAAAAGGGCAAAAACATAAGACAAGACAAAACAAAATCTTAGATAACGGACAACGGGAAGGATTTCAAAATATAGTACATAGAACATCGGAATTCCAGGATAAGAAGGATGCAGAATCCTATGAAAATTTGGACAACGAGGACGACAGGATATTTCTACTAGGGAGAATTTTACAGGGAGAATCTCAACGAGGGTCCTGAAAACCAAATTAATAGCAAATAAAGCTCGAATTCTCCTGCAAGTTCAAGGGGTTAAATTATAATTAAATTTTTCAATTATCAAAATGCCCTTACCTTTTTTTAAAAAGAAAAAAAGGGATCCTATTGTTGGAAGTTGGAGCCACTGTGCCAGCGGTCAACGACTGATCAAATATGCCAAGAGACTTGGTTAGGAAACAATTAAGCGAACAAACATTACAAAATATATAATGCGAAATTATGCGTGTGTGTGTTATAACTTTCATTTCTAAGTATTTTTACCTTTGTTGCATATTTTGGAAATCTTATTATGCATATATTCAAACATCACTTGTTTATCCATAAAAACATTTGTCAATTGTTTAGGTTAAAACTAAAACAGTGTCTATTCAAAAGGAAACAACAGCTAAAACAAGAATTGGACCTAGTGAATTAAGTGTCAAGCCCAATAAAAGACGGTCCATATCATAATAGACTAGTCCGACCAAGTAAGCATGAGTCCTTGAATCCCTTCAAACTTAGAACCATTATTTAGACCATTGCCTCACACAAAAACATAATCTCAACGAGCCTCGAATCTCAAAAGATTGTGACCTTTATCTATGGATATTTTAAAAACATAAGCTGACGGTCATGAACAACTAATGATGGCCTACGCATACTAATAAATACGAGAACAGCAATAAAGAAAAAAACTTCAACAACAATCAATTTTTAATATTCATTTTTAGCATTGTAGTTTGTATTTCTAGACAGCTTTCAGCATTATTTTTAACTTTGTAACCACTACAATCTTAAATCTTACCTATTTTATTAAACTAAACACTCGTTATTCTAATCTCATTACATCTTTATATTTGGGTAAACTGTGGTAAAGGAGCCTAAGAACCCTTTATTATCTTTTGAGACTCAATATCTCAAACACATTTGAACATTTTGTTGTTTGTAAGGAACAATTTTTTATTCTAGCTCCCTTATAGGTTGTCCTTCTAGGCTTGCATTTGGATTGCCTCCTAATGGTTGCCCACCAAGCAGGCCAAAGGTTGAGCCTGCTCCAAGAGGTTCTCCCCTTAATGATATAGCTATGTTCCTCATCCCTTCATGCAAAGCCTACTTCATCCTTTGTTGGTATTCTCTTTCTCTACATTTAAACATTTCCAGAGAAAGAGAGCAAGGAATTTTTAATTTTCTTCCATTTATTTATCCATACGGTCCTAAATTCCTCGTAATACTTCTTCTGTGAGATCGTTAGATATAATCAATGGGTTAATGTGTTCACTTCCTACTTTCAAACAAGGACTCGTGTTGCTGCTGCTTATTGTCATCGATACTATATGCTCATGATATCTACCTGTCTCAAGATTAAGCATTAATGGTGTAACATCCTAGTCTTCAATCTAGGAATTTTAAGTGTTTATAAGGGTAGAATGGTAATTTCGAGTTGATTCTTGGATTAATGACATTTATGGGAAACTAATATAGTTTTTGAATCTTTTAATAGTTTTAAAAGAAGGCTAGGCCAAAGTTCGAACGGGTTGTGGCATGGAGGGAGGTTTAAATTGTGAAAGGGCTCTCTATGCTATGTGCCGCAATGCGTGTACACAATTCTGCATTTTAACAGTCGCAAACAAACTCGAGATCAGAAAGGGGAAAGAAAGAGAAATCGAAGGAAGTGACAGAGGAGGAGTTTGTGGTTGCTAAGGCTCGATATTAGGAGAGGTTTTAAGGCATTTAGAGCTTGAATCATCATTGGATAAGTTTTCTTTTCTTCTCACTTCCCCTTTTATGGGAAATTTCTGACTTATAGGGTGATAGGGAGCTTGTTTTTTTGTTGTTCTTGAGTAATGGACGAACCCATTGACTTAGATAAGATCTTAGAAAGTTAAATCAAGCTTTTAACCTTAGGTTTATTAGTTTTACGGCGATTTAAAATTTTTGACTAGGGTTTAAACGAACCCTAAGTGAGAATTTAAGGTTTTGAAATAATGTGGATAGTTGGTTGATGATTTTGGTATGTCTAGATGCTAAATAGGATTGATGGAGTATTTTGGAAGGGTAGATGTTGTTAAATGTGGAGTTTAAGAGTTATAGGTACTTGAAACGTAGTGAATTCGGGGTTTATTTGAAATGATAATCGATAATTATCACTAAATTGTGTAAATTGAGCATTGTTCAAGTCTTATTGTGTGTGTAGAATATGTAGAGCTAACGTTGAGCCACGGTAACCCTTTTTGTGACAAAAGGGTTGAGATAACAAAATAATTTACACTATTTGATTGCATTGCTTAACTGTTTGTAAGTATATAAGCATATTTATTTACATGTATTTTGAAAGCTTGGCATGTTGTGGAAGATGATATCTTTATGCATTAGAAATTACTTTAGAATGATAAAGATTTTTGAGTCCTTGTGTGAGAAAAATTATGTCTTATTGCAAGTGTGTAATGTGTATGAAAAGTGTGAGCATGATCATGATAGGGAGTGGGAGTTCATCAGTAGAAATGAGTAGTAGAAATCTATATGGCATGTATCTTCTTAGTGCCTATTGAGGCACGGTATTGAACATTATTTCCTCAGTATCCATGTGGGATGTGGCATTAGAGAGTGACGCTCCTTAGTATTAATGATACGATATTAGAGTAACGACACCCTAATTCACATGCAATAGGGGGAGACTATAGTTTGAAAGTGGAATAGGACACCTTTAGCTGGGTGATCTTACCACTAAAGGTGAGCTCTGACCATTGTAAATGTGTACTTGGTTTAAGAGCTTATGGTTTCAATCGGGGTTAATATGGAGACTTGGATGGTAGAATGGTCATGTTAGAGTAAAAATGAATATTGCTTATGAAAAAGATTATGTTGAGCTATGTTAGACATATGTTTTGGTGTACATTAACTTTACGCCCTTATAATTATACATATCAATTGATAGTTGTGAATTATTTTGTTATCAAAATGTTTATCTTACTCCATGATTATATTTTACAAGTAAAGGCTTCGGTTGGAGCAAGGGGAAGGAAGGGGTGATCAAAGAGTGAAGATCTTTGTTTGTATAGCTCTTCCCTTTTCTATTATGGGTTTGTAATGAATATGCTATATTGTAATGTCAACTTAGAAGTATTTCATTTGTTTTGGTAATCACTTGTATCAATCGTGGTACGTGCGTGTATATCGGCCTGAGCTCGTAGTGATGGTGATTAAATGTGTGTGAAAGGCTAAGATACCATTATAAGTGATGGGATTGAGGTGTTTATGTGTTGAAAAAGTTAAAATGATTATTGTATTAATTTAATCCACCCATTTGCATTGATGAAATTTGGAGGCTTGATGGTCATTTTACGTGTGAAAGGTTATTTGTGTGATATGACTGGTTTAATATGTTGTGTGTGGTCCATTTGAATTGGTTAAAGTGATTCTGGAGCTAATGGCACTAGGTGGTGTGAATTAGACACCCTTGAATGTGTTTTGAAATGAAAATGAATCATTTTGGGTTTGGGTGTCTATCTTTTTAATGGTTGAGAACTTAGGAGTGATACTAATGCCATTAGTTAGAGGGTTTGAAGAGCTTTATATGGACATTTGAACTACTCAAATCGGACATCAGATATCAAAACAACGTGCTTCGAAAGTTTAGAGTGCTATCATAACAGCAATTTGCTATCATGACAGTAAGTGCGTGCCGCAGCACATAGCGCAATTCATGTTGAGAGACTTGTCCTTCTGTGCTATTTGCTACAGTAGATGGTGTAAATTTTGGATTTTTTTCTAGATTGCACCTTTTGTAATTTTAAGTGCCAATTTGTATTTTTATGCTTCCGTTATTGCATATGATTTACTTTAAACTATAGTTTGAGCTTAAACAACTTTTAAAAATGGTTTTCTTGAAAACCCAATGTTTTAAATTAATTACTTTTAAACCCTTAGGTTGTAATAACTTTTACTTAAAATTTTAATTTATCTTGATTATTATAACGGCATGTTTTAGTGTTGTTCTCGTAATGTTAAAGTAGACATTATAAATGGTTTTAACCCTATGAGTGTAGAGTTTTCTCCTAGCTTGTTAGAACCAACACCCACTTCATTAATAAAATATGCAAGTCATAAGATTGTAGAGGTTACAAAGCTAAAAAAAATGCTAAAAATTTTCTGGAAATACAAACTAAAAATGCTAAAAATGAATATTGAGAATCAAATGTTGTTGAAGTTTTTATTTGTTATTGTTCTTGTATTTATAGTGTGTGCCAGTTGTCATTAACTGCTCGTAATTGTTAGCATGTGTTTTTGAAATATTTACTGATCAAGGTCATGATCCCATGAGACTTGGAGCTCGTTGAGATTTTGGTTCCTTGCGAGGCAACGATCTAGATAGTGGTTTTGAATTTGAAGGGATTCAAGGACATATGCTTACTTGGCTAGACCATTTTATCATGAAGTAGACTAGGTTTATCATTATTAGATTCTTTATTGGGCTTGACACTTTATTTACTCAGTCCAATTATTGCTTTAACTGTTGTCCCCTTTTGAATAGATGCCATTCAGTTTTAGCCCAAACATCAATTTTTAAATCCAGTCTATTCTATTTCTCACAACTTGTTCCTTCAATGTTAACAAATTATTAATATTATGCTAAATAAAAAAAGTATATGCTATAAATTTATTTTTCAAGAGTTTTCACAGCCTTTATCATGGACATCTTATTGTGTATATCTAAACAATCACTTGCACATATTCAAACACCATTTGTTCATACATTTAAAAAAAATTGTCAATTTTTTTAAACCAAATTTTGCACAACCTGTTTCTTCAATGTTAACATTTATATCTTTTTTATTCATGCCAAATAAAAAAGATATATATGTTAACATTAAAGGAGCAAGTTGTGAAATATAGACTAAATTTGGTTTAAAAAAATTGACAGCTTTTTTTATGTATGGATAATTAATGTTCGAATATGCAAAAGTGAATGTTCATATATGCACAACAAGATCTTATGCAACAACAGGTAAAAATACTTGAAAATAAAAGTTATAATATATATATATATATATATATATATATAAAATTTTGCACCATATATATACATTGAAGCATTTGTTGGTTCAATAGTTCCTTTCATTATGGACAATCAAGAGGTCAAGGGTTCAAATCCACCTTTGGCCCAGCTAACTATGAGATGATTTGATAATGACAATTACAATATAATAATTTTTTTTAAAAGGTAAAAATGTTTTGATAATTAAACTGACAAAAGTAATTGTAATTTGAGCTTTTGGATGTGCAGAAGAATTTCAGAATAATTTGGACTCTACATATTATTAATTTAATTTTTAGGGCCCTCGTTTATTTATAGTAACTTTTTATTAGTACTTCATAATTTTGTGATCTTCTGGAGCGGAAAGTAGTTGACCACCACGAAAGATTCAACGTGCAATGCACGTGCTGTGGAAGTGTGCCTTCTCTGCATTTCAACACTTCCAAAGCTTCCCGGCTACCGTGGCTCTAGGCAGCCGCTGCTTCACTCCCATCTGGATCCTAGTCTGCATCGTTCGCATCGATCCCACAACCCTCACTCTCTGCCTGCCCTTTCTGCCCCAAAACATCTCCAGTCTTTGGATCTTACTCTATTCAACAAATTCCTGATAAGAACGAGGATAGCCAACCTGGATAATCCATTACCCTCTCTACACTCGGCGGCCAAACTCTTAACTTTTCTCTCCACATTGGCGCCTATCGTGTCCAAAAGGTAACAACCAACCTTCTCTGGTAGCGTTATGTCTTCTGGTTGTTGAATTTCTGGATTCCATTGTAAACTTTGTTGTGGGTTTTAGTAAGGGATGGGCATTTTGTAAGTATGCATGAGATTTTTGTTGCCTTTATCTTGATCGATGGAATGTGAGCTACCTTTCTGCACTTTCATGGATATTCGGTACATTATCTGCAGCATGTTTGTTGTACCGGACCAAGTCTTCGACACTAGTCTGTCGCCAGGTAGTGAAACCGAATGGTTTGGCAAAAAGGTGCCTAAATCTAAATGTGAGCTTGAATAATCATCCTTAACGGTTCTTTTTTCGTGCTTCTTGTTAACGCTTAGGACTGTGTCAAAATGTGAGGTTGCTGCTTGCTTGCAATGCGGTATTGTGCTTGCGATTGAGTATATTGTTCAGTAAGCAGATTTACGGAGTAAATATGAAAACTTTAACCATATGAGTGCAATTGATTGCTAACCTGTCCGGGAAACTGATCATTGCTGGTTTATTGATTGCTTGAATTCTTAAGTACTTGCTCAGATTTTAAATTTTCGTTGGAAGCTACTGAATTGCAGTGATTCATGATGCTAGCTATTACCGATGCTATTTTTTTTTTTTTTAAATGTAGCTTTAGTTTTTCTTCTGCCACACCACATTCCTTGAAGATGGCAGCGACAGCATTTTCTGGCTTGCAAGTTGCAATGTCTACAACCTGTTTCTGTTCATTACATAGATTTGCAGATGCAGGCGCTGTGGTTCTTGGTAGCAAGTCCAAGGTAGGATCATGGAATAAACTTTCAAGTGCACGTCAGATTGCATCATTGCAACCTTTCCAGCAGAGCTTCACATCGTCTTCCATAAGATTTGACAAGATATTTACAAGGGCAGTGGCTGAGTCTAGTGAAAACAAACCAGTTTCAGGATTGCCAATTGATTTGAAAGGTTATTCTTCTTTTTGCTTTCTGTTAAGTATTTGTCTCTACATACATGTTTCCTTGAAGTCTAAGTTTATGTTGTGACTGCATTAAACTGCCCTTTCCTCTATTAATTATTTCATGTATTCCTTAGAATGTTGAAAATTGGTCTGCAAGTCGCTCAGAGAACAGAGCAATCAACCTCTCATCCATGTAATGAATCGTTCTTGCTGATGTGTAAATTATTGAAAAGATGCCCTTTGCCCCCAAGGCTGGTGCAATAGCAGAACGATATACAAATAACACGCTAACATCTTATAATATCTAATTTTCTTGATAAATGTGGTATGAATCACTTGTTTTGTTTCATAATTATTGCTTGTAAATGGCTTTTGGTCCTTTTGTTGTAGTTCCTCTCTCACATGACTTAATTAGCACCCCGATTTTGTTCTTTTATATTATATAAGTAGTTTTCCACTTAAAGTAGTCACAATTATAGGTAAAAGGGCTTTTATTGCTGGTGTGGCTGATGACAATGGATACGGCTGGGCAATTGCAAAATCCCTTGCTGCAGCTGGAGCTGAAATTCTTGTAGGCACATGGGTACCTGTAAGTCCATGTACAAATATGAGGGATTTGTCTATGTATTTTTTTTTGACATATTTTTCCCCGTTTTCCAGTCCTTTAATAATGCAGTTACTGACCATAAAAGTGTTCTACAGGCTTTGAACATTTTCGAGTCTAGCTTGCGACGTGGAAAATTTGATGACTCACGCTTGTATGATGCCAACTGCTGTTATTGAATTAGTTTGTTTGGTTATCTGAAGTTGGTGTACTTTGCTCATAGTAAAACTCAATTCTTCAGATTACCAGATGGTTCGTTGATGGAGATCACTAAAGTTTATCCCTTAGATGCAGTTTTTGACAACACTGAGGATGTACCAGAAGATGTGAGGGAGAAATACACAGTTCTTTTTCAAAGTTGCAAACTTTTGTGCGATGATATTTTATAAAAAAATTGAATATTCTGATGTGCTCATGCTTATTCTTCTTTTTTTGTTTTTGAAAATTTGTATAGATAAAATCAAACAAGCGTTATGCTGGATCCTCTAATTGGACTGTTCAGGTATACACTTTGTGTGGTCAAAATAATCTTTTGACTGCCAACTTGGTTTCTGGCCTTGATTATTCAAAAGTAAAAGATTACTTTAAGTTGGAGGATGAGTATTGTCATTTTTGCCTTCAAAATGATTTTCAAGATGCTTTCATGGCCTTTATTTCACCTGGTATATTTGAACATCTCGAAATTGCCAGGAAGCCCTAACTTGCTAAAGTGTCATTTTTGTCTTGCATGTTATTTCAAACCTGAATTAAAATATATTATGCATTCTAGCACTAATGCATCAGATCCCAATAGAATTCTGCAGTTAAGCATGCTTTGGTGAGAATAATGTTAGGATGGGTGACTTCCTAAGAAGCTCTCGTATTGCACCCTTGTAAAAGGCACAATAATATTGTATAATTCATGTAGTTGATCCTACTTAGTGGGATAAGATTAGTTATTGTATTAATTTCCCTTACTTATGTTAGTCATTGTTCATCTTTTCCATGCCTGCATATTGTAGGTGACTTTCTTTTGGGAATTGGATGTCATTGCTTAAATTTACTATGTTGGACTTGAATAATCGTATTGCATTTTGAGATAATAGAGAAGTTTTAGTATTTTCCAGTCACTCTTATATTAATCTTTTCAGCTACTCTATTCCATAAATTGTGAATTTTTATATCATCTACTATGCTTTCTTTCTCCGTCTTTACTTTTTTGTTTGGTTAAGCTTAAAGCCTTTCTTTCTAACTTCATTTTTAAGTTATTTTTTTCAAATTTAAATATATGAATTAATTCATCATGTTACATTGTTTGTACAGATTTTACCATATACATTTAATTTTTCATACTTGAGTAAAATAAAATCTCGTTCTATATTTTAGGGAGAATAAAACTGTATCTCTAATAAAGTATTAAGCCAAATAGTGATTTATGAACTGTTTAATTTTCCTGCGTGACTGAACTGGATGGCTTTATAATGTGTTCTGTGCGTCATTCTTATTTGCAGGAAGTTGCTGAATCTGTTAAAAAAGACTTTGGCAGTATAGACGTCCTTGTGCACTCACTTGCCAACGGACCTGAGGTAGGGTAGATGCAGTAACAAAGTTTCTTTATGCCTTTTATCTCTGCTTTTAGCAAGCAGTCAACTTTGTTATAGGTGAGCAAACCATTACTGGAGACATCTCGGAAGGGATATCTTGCTGCATTATCTGCATCTAGCTACTCTTATGTCTCTCTACTCAAGCATTTCCTTCCTATTATTAACCCAGGCATGTATCTTATTTAACATGACTGCTATTATATTGCTTCTTGCTTTGGCGTATCATTTTCTCACGTTTCTGATATGCTTGTAGGTGGATCTTCAATCTCTCTTACGTACATTGCTTCAGAGAGGATTATTCCTGGGTGTGTTAATTATGCCTTGAAGAGTCTGTAATTCTTATTGTCTTGATTTTGGTGTGACTATACATCATTCTTGAACTAATTAATAGTGATATGTAGATATGGTGGGGGTATGAGTTCTGCAAAAGCTGCATTGGAAAGTGATACACGAGTAAGTGTCTAATCTATTTTCAGGGTTTCACTACTGCCCATGACTTGCATTGAATTGCTCTATTTTTTGTTTGTTTTCTCCTCACATCTGGATGTTTGAAATTTTATATAATTGTATGTTCTTAGGTGCTTGCTTTTGAGGCGGGTAGAAAGCACAAAATCAGAGTCAATACTATATCTGCTGGTATTTGGAACAATTTTTTTTTAGCGCAATGTAGTTTTTCCTGTTCTATATTTAATGGGTTTTCAGATGCTGTAATTTGGCAGCCTCAAGTAAGTCAAGATAATTGCAGTGGGCGTCTTGCTTTCTACTTGAGTTATTTCATGAAGGGGCCTATGTTAATAAAAGGTTTTGATCTTATATGACATGGGCATGCAAGATTCTATTGTATGCTCAAAATCTCCCATATATTTCAATCAAGTGGAGGTATCTTCTGTATAGAAATACTTTTTGGTGAATTCAGACAAACATTTGGGAAATGATTTGCAGTTAGATACAAGCATATATACCTTACTGGCAACATTTTCCACAGCTGCATTTTTTTCTTCCATGAATTCATGTGAGCGAGAATGTGTTTTTGTTCGGTTTTATGAAACTGAAAATTCTTACAGAAAAGCATGAAATAAGATGGAGGAACTGTTACATAGTTATTTCTATTTATGCTTGTCTTCATGCTATCGCATATGTCATGCTATTGCATATGTCTCTCCCCTGCTAATGTAGAACTGAACTTAGGTCCTCTGAGAAGTCGTGCTGCCAAAGCAATTGGATTCATTGACATGATGATTGATTACTCAATAGCGAATGCGCCGCTACAGAAAGAACTATCAGCAGGTGATATTTTCAATATTCTTCCCTGTTGTATTGTACGATGTCTTTTTTTTCCGTCACGACTGAGTTAAAATTTCATATGACAGAGGAGGTGGGCAACACAGCTGCCTTTCTAGCATCCCCCTTGGCATCTGCCATTACTGGTGCTGTCATATATGTGGACAATGGCCTCAATGCTATGGGCGTTGGAGTTGACAGTCCCATTTTTAAAGACTTGGACATTCCCAGGCACCAACATTAAGTACCTCGATGAGGAATCCAAATGTTGCGCTTTCGTAGGCTACTTTGTTATTCTTCCCCTACAAGACATTTTATTGGCTAAAAGTAAAGTTTTAGCTGCTGTTCAGTTTTCATGGATTCGTCTCCTCTGACAAAAAAAAAATCACTAATAACAAAAACTCCTTCCTTTGGGAGAACTGAACGCGTGCCGCATTAATGTTGTCAGCTTTTGACAAATCTAAAATCACCCAACTCAACTGTTGAAGGATAGTTCATAATTAATTAATTTTATTAAATACTTGAAAATATAAATCAAGATTTATTCCAAAAAAATTATATTCACATCATAGGCTATACATTGCACATCTGTTTCCGTCTAACAGCATGGAAAGAAATTAACGTTGACAGAAACAGATTAACCCCCATCGGAGACGGGAGCAAAGCAATTCCTGTTTGCCGAACAAGAATACAAAATAATATACGAATGGAATAAAATTGCAAATTCAAGCAGCAGGGATGCTATGGTCGGAAAATTCGAATGGTTTTGGTAACCTGAAGCCTACAAAATGGACACTTTGACACTGCAGAACAGCATCTATGACAAAGCACATGACCGCAAGGCACTATTGTCACATTAACTTCAGCAGTCAGACAAACCCGACACAGCCATGCTGCCTTTGCTGTATCAGCCTCTTTTGCTGCAGCTTCAACCCTTCCCTGCACAATTATCATAGTACGACATGTCATATCAGAAATGGAGATACAGTTTTAAAAGAAAACCTAATTGATCCAGGGCATCACTTCATTCTCACACGAGTGAAGACTTGTCATATATGTGATGAAAGCATTTATTCCATTAAAAAATTACGGCCCAAAGGAAAACATCAAATAGTCCCACTGAGTGCTAACAACTTCCCTTCGAATCCTCCTGAGCTTGGGTAATAAGATTATTTCAGTTCAAACATTTAACATATAAGAAAAAAGTGATACAACAGAAGAATCAAACCCCTGCAACTCCCTTTCATTAACTTCATTTCCAAATCCACTAACTGTAAACAGACAAAACTAAAAAGTTAAATCATTCTTCCCAAAAGCATCCCAACGTGCACCAATTAAGACAGCCTGTGACATGATACACCTTTTGATTCCCGAAGATTTGCCATATATATCTATTTTAAATGGTCAGTTAACTCAAATCATAATATTACAAATCACAAAAGACAAACCTGCTCCAATAGGAGTGCTGCTTGAGATTCTTTGAGATTTTCTTGCAAAGCAATTGTTCTCTGAAATAATGCCTGCTTCTCCACATCAATATTGATTCCAGTAGCAGAGAGTATCTCATTAACCGCCTGCACCAGTTCTAGAGCTGAAACTTTGCCATACTGGACTTCTCTCATTGGCTGCAGCATTCAGTTAAAGCAATATCAAGACACATGGGCAAGACATAAGATGTCACAACACATCAAATAGGATATGAAAAAGTTAGTTGCAGACAAAAATCTAGATTTCCAAAGAGAAGATTCCATAAAATTCAAGAAGTTGAAAAGCTTGATCTGGCTTATTTGTTTCTCTTTCTCTCCAGTTTTACATTTTAAATACTTTAAGTTTCACATGAACCTAAACAAATAAAAAAAAAAAAAAGGAAACTACTTCCAGTATATTGATCAGAGAAATCCCAATCAAGCCTTTAGAGAAAGGAAGTCGGCAATCCATAAGACAAAACTTTAATAAGTAGCAAGCCCAGAGAGTTGAACCTGAGAACTGCTTCTGCCCCTTCCCGAACTCTCTGACACATCAACATAAGGCCTTTTACTGCTTACTACAAGGCTATCACCAGCCAGGGTTTCTGGCAGAGGACTGCCTGCTGCTATACTTTTAAATGAAAAAACTTGAGAAGAAAGTAAAACTTGTGTAACAGCTGGTTCAATTTCAATCTTAAATCTGTATAAAGCTTGGCCTGCTGATGGTCTGACATCCTCAGGAACTTTCCCATATTTTAGCTTTTCTCCATTTTGAAAACGCCAAGCCACTATTTCACCAGAATAAAAAGGCCTCAATGGATGGAACTGAATAAGACGAGCATCTTGGGGCATTATTTCTTTTCCCACCAAATTACTGCTTCCCCTTGCGGATTCAACTTCTTTCTTGTCAAAGCACAGATTTAAGACATTAACAACTGAAATCTCAGATCCTTCAGGGCAAACAAATAAGGGTCCAATAGGCAATACAGTAGGAGAGCCTAAAACCTGGCTGACAACAATGGCAACGAGATCAAAAATTGATACATAAGTTGGTGGTTCTGCAATTAGAATACATGATTTTGATTTGTTCACAAAATAAAGAGTCTTATGTGCAGATTCACCCTTCCACTCTGGTATAATGAAATCTTTACCCACACGAGTAATATCAACTAACTTGGGCAAGAGCAGAAACCTCGTTTTAAGATTCTTAACAAATTGCAGATTTTCTGCAGTTGATTTCAGTAAGGATTGTATCGTATCCAAAGCCAGGTTATTAACTGCAGGAATGTAACTGCCCATGCTATTAACAATGGTCCACACAGCAATCTGAAGCAAACTGCTTGATAACTTCTGTTTGATAGTCACTAGTGAAACGCATCCCACAGAATCTAAAGTCTGCAACTGCTCATTCTCATCAAGTTCCTAAAAGCCCAAACAGAAACTTTTCCAGTAAGTAACAGATTTCTGTTGTCAAACTTGGCAACAAAATGAAATTTACTAAAATTAAGAAAGCAAGATAGTGAAATAACTTGAAAAGAAAATCAATATATGAAATAATGCTACCTCTAGGACAACTTCAGACAATTTTTTAATGCCCAGCACACTACATACTTGTTCAGAGAGATCTGGGTGGACAAGTCTTATTTTGGAAATATCAATACACTTCACATATCGAGAACCATAGGAATCAACATAGACACATGAAGTTGAATCAACAAGCCTGCAGCCATCATCAGGGACTATGGCTTCAGATTTCCAGTCAGACCTATCGAGTGTGTTTCCCTCTATAATCTGATCACTTATAAAATTCAAAATTTCCATCACAGCCCGTAGCTCATTGGGATTTAAATGCTGATATCCACAAGCTTTCTGAAGATTTAGGAGAAGAACCATTGCAGAAGAAAGGGTCAGTGTCTCCTGAAGACCCAAATCTTTTAGGATCTTCACAAATGATAGATATACTGTAGGAAGCTCAAAAGCAAACGGAGATAAATTGATCATCAAACGCACAAAAAGAGCACTAGCAGTCACCAGGCGTGTTCCATTTGCAACAGGCAGAAATGCCACTTTCTGTAGCTCCATTACATCTGGGAAAAAATGTATTAGAACTTTGACAACCAAGTTAGGTCACTATATCATTAACTTAAGCTTAACCACCTAGCTGTCAATGAGGTCAAGTCCTCAAGTCATCAGCTTAAAAAAATAGTTGATTATCTTCACTCATGCTAAAAAAATGGATAATCAATAAATATTTATATGCCTCAGAGGTAACTCTGAATCAGTGTGTTGTGGCAGTCTTAGCATTTGGCATGCTAAAAATGGTCCATGTTACGAGTCCATAAATGTCAAGTTCTGTTTTTTTCATGACAGACGTGTATTGGGCAGTGGGCAAACAATTTGAACACAACTAACAGAAAGGAAAAATAGAGGATAGAATGAGATAATGGAAAAACCACCTCGATGAGAGCCATTTCCAAATATTTTATACACTTATAATATGGAATTACGAACGTTGTCTTTTTTATTTTAATTGAAAAAAAATTATTTATTCTTAGTGTCATTTGTTTATGACACCACCTATGCCATGCATACCTTACATTCTTAATCGGCTAAACTTGAACAAGTCAAACACAGATCTATCCTCAGTCAAGAAACCTAAAGCAAATGATAGAAAGTTGAGAACTATAAACATCATTTATTTTGAAAGAAACAACTAATGGGGATCTCAGTAGCCCAGTCTCAAACATGTTAACCAGCAAGATCATAGCAGCAATGCATAGCAAAAAAAGAAAAAAAAACCAATGCACGTCAGAATTTGTTCAAAAACAATAATGCTTTTTTCACCACCCAGGCCACACAGATGAAAACCCAAGGAGCTTAATCAAAATGAGAAGTCCATGACAAAAGGGGAACCAAGGGAGTCACCTGAGGAAGAAAGGGAACTCCAAAGTTTGTCTAGATATTTCAAGATCTGACAAGTACATTCCCCAATGTTCATTCCTGATGCAATTGGCCAGTGAGCCAGAGTATCTTCACCTCCATTTTTTCCAATTGCCTGGGGCAAAAACATGTTAACATGACAAACATTTAGATAAATAATACGTTAAATAAGTAAAATAGAAGTATCATTTTTTTACCTTCAGGTGCTTCAAAACTGTGGAAAAGGGTGGAGGACTCCTTAAATGGAGAGCTCCCCAAGAATACTCTGGAGGAACAATCTGCTGTCTAGAAAGAATGGGAGCGCAACTCCATGCAAGAGGCCAATCCTTAGATAAAATAGCTTCACTATATGAAACAAGTACCCTCTTGCAGTGGACAGTTGGAAACCCCAACTCAGCAGGTACACATGCAATCTTGCCAAGAATGTCACAGAAGTTGCTGCTAAAATAAAGAGCGAAGTTTGAGAAAATAAATTCAATAACAGATCCTGCCAGCATCCAAACTTCTCTTGAAACTTCATTATTCGAATTGCTCGTGTCTGATTCAAAATCATCCACATCATTTGATTTCATGCACTCACTTCCAAGAAACTCAACTCTTCTAGCACAATCAAGTATAACATCCACTTCAATAGCAGTTCGGAGGCCAAGTTTCCTTAATATTCGAAGCCACCCATCTGTACTAAACCTTTCTCCAGGAAATTTCATTCTCTCACCAGAGAAAATAGAGATCAACAGAGCATCACCAGGATCAAAAAGATCTTTGGGCTTTAAGAGATCTGTTGAAAATTCATCTGAATTTCGCACAAATTTAGTTTCCATTAAAGTTTCAACTACTGACTGATCAGCTTGAAGATCATGCCAATTGGTATAAAGATATAACAATATGCTCTCCTGATCATTTTGAGGTTTTCTGTCAAAGCCAGGCAAGCAAAAGCGAACTAAGATCTG